GTTTGTATAGATTTATTTGGATATACAATCAAGTATACACTTATTATATACGTGTGTACAGTCACAAAGAGAATAAAATTACTTTAAATTTATTTCAAAAGGTCAAAAATTTTTAATATTCCTTATGCGTGTTGATATTTATGAATTCCGTACGGCATACGTGTGGAATCCGTTGCATCGAAGTAAACAAAATGTAAATGGACGTCTCTAGACACATCTGCAATAGAGCCAAACACAAATGTAAATTTCAATAATGTATAAGAACTACAAAAACTACAAAACTATTTCACAATACTTATTTCGATATATTTTTAATGCAAATCAATTATAAATCACGATTACTTATACTACAGTGACGTAATTGAGAATATTTCATTGGGAGGGATCAAAATAAATTTGTATGGCTAACTTGTAGGGGGCAATGCTCCCCACACTTCCTTTATCTAAAGTTATCGAAAGTAAACGTGGAAACAAAATACTAGTACTAAACAACTTTACATTTTTTATTGGATCAGTTAACAAATATCAACTAATTTTATATATAGTTACAATTTACATAACTAAGGTATCGTATACCATAATATATCATTTTTTTCACAATTTTATATCTGACCATATACAATTACACCATAATAATTATTATATCGTTTTTTTCACCTTTTTATATCTGACAATTTTTTTAAATAAAATTTAACATTTTCTTACCTATGTTGTATATATTATATAATGCCTTTATATTTATTGAATTAATATTATATGTTAAATAAAATTATTACTGTGCTATAACTTTTAATTTAAGCGTAATTTACAGTTGTTTTGGTAAAAACGTGGTCAATATCTCATTTGGTGAAAAGGGGAAAGATACACTTTTGGTGGAAACGAGTATTGGTGGAAAAAGGAAAGGTTTACTTTTGGTGGAAACGGGCATCACCCAATTCAACATAAGTACCTTCAAAAATTTCAGAATGGATTGAAAATCTTTCTTCTAGTTGTTGTACAAAAAAGTCCAACTAAAGTATAAATACTGACACTTAGTAGTATTCTTCAACACTTGAATTGGGATTTGGGTTTGCTCGATTTACTTGTCGTTTAGATACTCTTTTAGTACTCAACTTTGTATCTATAATTACTGACATCTATTACAAATGTCAAATATAAACATAATTATTTTCATATAATTCATATAATCAATGCCGGATTAAACATTCGTGGGCCCCTAGGCAATTAAAATTTTGGGCCCTACAAATTTTTTTTTTTTTATATACATCTTTAACATTATTATCCAATAATTAAAATAAACAGCTTTAATAATAACCAACTATTATTAATAAATAAAATCATGTTTATTACATTTTTTTATTTGCAAAAAAAATTAATTAATTATTATATTATTTCTATTTTTTTCAAAATAATTGTATTATTATTACTGCACATAACACCTACAATTTAATATATATTATATTTCATAATAATTTTTGTCCCGTAAATTCGTAAATAAAATACAGGTATTATTAAATGAAAAAAAATATAGTTTTCCGTTTTCACAGAACCCCTTAAATGCATGAGGCCCTAAGGCGAGCGCCTATTCCGCCTAATGGGTAATCCGTCACTGCATATAATAATATACTTTATCTTAGTATAATTACTTTTGCAAGCAAAAACAATTTGTGAAATTCAGTATCACAATTTAATCTGATATTTTTTAATACAATAATAATATTTTCAGCAAGGCTTACTACTTCTCTTAAATCAATTTTTTCTTTTTGTAGCAACTTACACAATGGTAATCCAAAAGAAAAAAACAACTAAAAAAATATTTTTTTGTAAAATAAAATAGATTATATTTATTAACTACTATTTACTTAGATAACTTGTAAGAATATAAGAAATTCTGAATCAATAGCTTTTAATATTATATTAGCTTCCATTGCAGTGGAATCATTCCAATTAGAAATATTTTCTAATGATTCAACTTCGAATGTAAATAGTTCAATGAAATCTGTTACCGCATCATAACGTTGCACCCATCGTGCAGCACCTAATCTTTTTAGAGTTTTAAACTTAGAATCCTCATTACTATTATCAATGTTGGTTAAAAGAACATTTTGACGTTTTGGTGTATTAAAGAAAACATAGACTTTTACGGATAAATATTTATTACCTAATTTTTTTTTTTTTTTGTTTCGTAATAATTTTTAAGTTTGTATTTGAGCTATTTGTAGATATAAAACAATATATAAATACGGTTCATAGGGAGGATCTATCCCCCATATCCCCCCCTTAATTACGCCCCTGCTATACTATTGTAGTGCAATCGACGTATAGTGATGTCGTGCTATTTAAAAACGAATTGTTCGTAGCATATAACTTGCAGGCGTGTATTCAGAATTGTATTTCGGGAGGGACGGATCAAAATAGTATAGGTCATATAATATAACAAAAATATAAAATTTAACGATTTAAATGTAATAGAATCTATACAATGTATTAGCTATCAAGTACTAAATAATTAGTTAAAAGCGTATTACCTATCAATAATAAATACAGATAATTTGCTTCTTTACGATTTAATACATTTAATAAATAGAATATTGTTCACGTTAGTATATTATCATCGTTGTATACATGAAATGGACGTGAACGTCGTGAACTGTAATGTCCCAAAGGTAACCTTTGGCAGGGCCGTCGTAAAGCTTAATGGGGCCTGGAACAACTTAAAGCACGGGGTCTATAGAGTGGCAAACCAGGGGTGGTTATGGGGTATTAATCCCCCCCCCTAATAAAATAAAACGATATTGGTTTGAATAACATATTAGAAATTCACATATAGGAATTATTTAAACTCCGCATTTAGAATACACATAATCAAAATTCAGAGGTTCTACGTAATTTGTTGGAAAAACTCATGGCTTCAATTACAAATGTGTAATTTAATATCATTTTTTTTTCATTGTACAAACTCTTGCTTCTTGAATTTCTTTAAATAGGTACAACAACAGAATGTACAAATTTACAAGTACTTTAGGTAGGAACAGTGTTTAATATAAATGATTACTTATTATTTATGAATTATACAGTTCTTTTTGCTTAATCTTTAGTTGAAAAGTAAAACAACAACAGTCAATACTCAAAATTAATATTTTATATTGTTATGGCAGAAATACCATGTTTGATGTTATTGTTTAAAACTGTGATTATCGCAGCCGGTTCGCGACGATGGTGTGTCGCACTGGTAATCACCAATTATTATTCTTAATAAAATATTTATTTTAGCCATTGCGCACCGCATTTCTAGAGATTATCATTAATTATAATTTATAAGTCCTTTTTTTTTTGCAAACGCTATCATGTAAATTAAAAATAAAACTATTTGCGTCTAATTAATTTATATAATTAAATTATTTGTTAATTATTATTAACAATGAATAACTTGAAACTCAGCTTAATCTACCATAGTTGAAAAAAAAAAAGCAATAGATGTTGTGGCCACCAAAATTTTAGGGCCTGGGACAAAGGGTCGGATAGGCCCGGCGGGTTACTAAGCAAAACTCGATGGGCCTCGACAATTGAGTATTTATTTTGCTGTCGGATAATTTTGTGTGTATTAATATATTATATTCTGCTGATTGATATTGTGATAATACATTTGGTGAAATCAAACACATGTATAGCAAAATTATAAACCTGAACTAGCTGAAATTATTAAATTTTAACAACCTTTAAAAATTTTTACTAACTTTTGTAATATAACATGGTGCATTTCGTTATGTTTATACTAAATATTAATTAGAAAAGATAAGTACACCTGTTGAAATATGCTATTAAAAAAAAATTTGACTAAGAACAGCCAGTTTGTAAATAGGATGGTAATGTACAGAATTGGTCTGAAATTGGGCTGAATTTGTCTAATCCGGCCCTGCTGAGGCAAAATAATTTCAATGCCCTCCTCCTCTTAATGGCTCTAACCTTTGGTATAATACACTGATATACATCGACTATCGTAAATAATAGTACCAATTTACAATTATCACCTTATTTACTGACCATAATAGTATAACTATCGATTCATGTTGTGTGTGACTATATATTTTATACTTAATTTGAAAATATAGTTCATGTTATTGACAAGAAAATTCAATAACTATTTTTAGAAGTATTTATCTTGTTATTTTAAATGAGCGAGCCTTCAGAAAGATTAATATGCATCAACTTTAGACGAAAGTGATGTTAAAATTAGTATATATATATGATTTATTTGTCTCATTAATTTATATCATGTTGGTATGTTTTAATATAATAGTTTTTTATAGTGATGGGTAACGATATCGATAATTCGATACAATATCAATATCGTGACACATTTTCGACACTGATATCGTTCTATAGTTGTACAATATATCGCAATATGAAATTTAATAATTTTTCTAAAAATACATTTTATTTTTAGATTCTAAGCTTAAGTAAATGTTATTGTGTATGCTGTGTAATAAATTATTAACTAATAATTAATAAGTAATAATATTTGTTTAATGATATAATTGATAAAGTGTGTACATGTGTCCTCGGGAAATGTAAATCATTATATTATTTATATTTAATTTTACATTTCTACATTATTGTTACATTTGATATACCTTATAATGTTATCTGTATCGATAAGCATTAAGTACTAGATAAAAGTTTACGATTTTGGTGTACCAATAATAAATATCATATACTAAATTTTAGTATATTATTTTACTAAATTTATAAAAATTAATTCGATACACAATAATATATTGTTGCCCAACACTAGTTTTTTAACTCCTTTTCAGCACACTTATTAAAATAATTTTTAATATTCAGTGAAATGTTTTCAAGTAGTTTAATGAATATATAAATACATTTACATTAAATTGAACACTAAATGACATTAAAACATGATAAATTATTTACTTAAATAAAATAAGTAAAATAATTAAAAAAATCCTTTATTAAAATAATGTTTCTTATAAACTAAATTGATTTAACACAAGCTTTAATTTTCAATAAGTAAAAATTTCAAATCAGAATAACATTTGACATCATATAAGATCAAATATGTGAAACAATAGAAAATAGAAGTGTGATATCATGTGAAGCACAATGAAAAATACAATATCACGTGAATGAAAATTATTTAGTTTTGTAACAACATTTTAAAACAATATGTAATAGGTTTCACATATTAACCGTGTGCCTTGATATCACATGAGTTGGCGAATTAAAACGTGGGTTCACATAACGTAATACTAATGTCTCCACCTTAAATTTTATAATTATATATAAATTTGTACATACCCGTTATAAATAGCCACTTAAATAATGAAAATTATTTTTATTTATTAAATTACTTTATAATAAAGAAAAAAAATGTTTGAAAATTATTGAAAATGACTGTACATTGAAAATCATGAATGTTTGATTATTATCTAAATACAAAGTTATAATTAAACTATTATAAAAAATTACAAATTATACTTAAAATTAACCAAAGAACTATTATATGATCTATATAAACTAATTATGTCTTGTAAAACTACATTTATATGGATTTATTTTAAGTTAAAATAGTAAAATAATATCTAAGACTGCTGACCAATTAACATTAAAGTAATTTACAAGCCGCAATTATTAATAAATACATAATTGTATATTATATATTATATAATAAGTACAAAAAAAAAATTAGTTATTTATAATATAATAACATATAATTAAGTAAAATTAAGTTTAAGAAAAATTAATTAATGTTCAATCATTTGTTGTTTTGTTTATCATAACCAATATCAATAAGTTTAAACAGGTGATGGCTGATACGGATAACCAGGGTATTGAGATTGGTTTGATGGAGGAGCCAGTGGTCTCTGAGGATATGGTTGATAACCACCTGGTTGACCGGGTGCTGGGTAACCTTGTGGATATCCTTGAGGCGGAGGCTGATAACCTTGTTGAGGAGGGTAGTTCTGAGGTGGTCCAGGTTGTTGATTGGGTCCATTATTAGGCGATTGATAAGATTGAGCATTTGGTTGTTGTGGCGTAGGATAGTTGGGTTGTGGTGCAGGAGCAGTCTGTTGCACAACCACAGTAGCATTAGGAACAGATTGATTAGGTGGTGGAGGGTATGTCTGAGTAGATGCAGATGGAGCTGACTGAGTTGTCTGGGATGATGCATATGTATTTTGTGGTGGATTTCCATAACCCGTGTAAGAAGATGGTTGATTTGTAACTGGACCATAACCACTGCTTGAACTAACAGGCTGTTGAACATAACCAGCTGGTGGATAGTTGGGTGGAAAGTTTTGTGGTTGAGCAGCAACAGCGTTTTGGGGGTAATTACCGCCAGGTTGGTTGCCATATGGACCGTTTGGTTGATATTGCTGATTTGCTGAAGGATTAACATAGTTAGGATTTGGATAGTTAGAGCTGGGTACCGGTTGTTGATGGCCATATCCTTGACCTGGATAAGGTTGGTTTGGTGGTTGATTATACATATTACCTCCACCAGGACCACCTGCTTGACTAGAGACAACGCTGTTTTGAGTTGCAGCAAAATTTTGATAGCTTTGTTGTCCTTGGTACTGAGGTGATGGTCTATATTGTTGAGAAGGCAGTCCTATAATTTAAAAATATATACATATTACACAAATTTCAAAACTATTACTTATTACTTATACACAATGTAATAAAAATCAAATGTACTAACCACTAATAGCCAATTATGTTGATTAAAAAATTTGAATGGATCAATTATTGATTAAAAATAACTATGAAATTATGGTACTAGACATATTTTTAAAAATATTTCTTTTAACTTTTTTAACCAGTTATATTTTATATATTTTTTAATTTAAATGCCTAATGCATAGATAATTTAAGTTAGTTAAAAACTATGATAAGTCACATAATATTATCAGTTCTTTACATACACAACATATGATAATAAATATGTACTCACTCCATTAAAGGACGTAACCACTATTAATGGAATCAAATTTACAAATGAACTTTTTGGGTTCATATTTATAATTAAGAATTTTTTTTTCTATTGGAAGGAATTATGAATAAAAATTTTATTTGTATTAATTAAAACGAAGTAACGATTTTAACACAAAAAATAAATTATTAAAAATCAATACAAAGAAATTAATATAGCTTTTATGAAAATAAGACATACTCATCGGAGCAATTGATTGTTGAGGACGGTATCCACTAGGTGGCATCTGGCCTTGTCCTTGAGTAAACACTTGATTCATAGCTTGTTGAGGTGGGCCTTGTTGCTGAGGTGGTTGTTGTTGCATTGCCTGAGGATTTTGACCATCCGGCCCTCCCATCATTACTGATGGTGGTGGAGGTTGTTGTTGTTGTTGTTGCTGCTGCTGTTGTTGTTGTTGTTGCTGCTGCTGTTGTTGTTGTTGTTGCTGTTGTTGCTGCTGCTGCTGTTGTTGTTGTTGTTGCTGTTGCTGAAGTTGTTGTTGATGCTGTTGATGCTGCTGTTGCAATTGCTGTTGCATATGCTGTCCTTGAACCTGCATGCCCTGCTGTATACTGGGTGGCTATAAAAATTTAAATAATTATACAGTATAATAAACATTTAGATTAGAAGTAGGTGTTTTCTTTACTATAAAATATTATTTATCAATTTTACTCAATAATTTGAAAAAATATAACTATTATATATTATAATCAAACATTTATTATTATTATTGAACTAACCGGAAGCAATGTTTGAATATTTTGATTTGAATCTGCCACGGAAGCTAAATACACCAAATTTCGATGAAGAATTTGCTGGAATCTTTACGAAAAAAACAAAAAAATTAATATTATACAAACATAATGATTATAATTATATTTATTTTATTAAATTTTTATATATTATATATCTACAGTTAAATACAAAACAATGACATAAAAATTACATTTATAATACTACATATTTATATCCCTCCACAAAATGAGGAGCAGTTATCATAACAAAATTTCATAATTCAAAATAAAATCCTAACCATTTTTAACTTTAAACATATTTTAATTTGCATTAGGTAAATTTAATTGAAAAATAATTGTAGTGTAACAATGAATTTTTATTGTAAATTTATTGTCGTAATATTTTAAAAATATTAAGAAATTCAAAACTTTTAATAAATTTATGTAAGATAATTTATTATTTATACTTAATTCATGCAAGATATACCTAGGTATGTATGGGGTATGTATAATTATTTATATTTTATATTATTTGATATTATGTAATTTTTTCTATATTCAATAAAGTTAAATCAAAAGCCTTTACATTATAATATATATTAATATATTATTTATATCATTTATTTTGGTTGATGAAACTTACTGAACACAATCTTGCGCTTTCCCTTTACTCTGAAATTCTTGAATTGTTGAAATTAATTGAGCATTTTCATCAAGTATCTAAAAAAAAAAAACATATTAATTATCTTATGAAAATAAAATTATCCATATTTCTATAACATAATAAAAAACATACCATTATGCTTAGTTTGTTAGAGTGCTTAAGAACTTATGTTTCAATATATTTCTTAATATTTTTTTAATAAATAGTTAATTTTATAAGGATCTAGTATCAACTAATTTTTTATATAATATAACCTAGTAAAATAAACTGCATGTACAATTGTGAAGATGAGTTTCTATTCAATACACACAATGAACAAAACAACAGTGTTACTATTATACACCATAAAAGATATAAGAAACAAACCAATTTATTTTTTTAAAATTTCTTGACATTGAGTCACATTTACGGGTGAGATCAAAACATGTAGTACTATATGACAAAAATTTGTATATTATAAATTAATATTAGAAATAACACACTGTATACAAAAGCTTCTATAAGAACGTGAAAAAATGATTATTATTAATAAATTGTTGTATTAAAAATAAGAACTAAAATTGTAAGGTTAATTATTATTAACACAATTGATTACTTGTTTCTAAGTATATGCTTTCGACAGATTAGGTCATTTATGTATATAGATAAAAAAATAATTATTATAATGTTAAGTTTAATTATAATTATTATAAAAAATAGAACACCGAAATTATAACAACTAGCGAAGATATATTTTCTTGTTAATTAAATGGTAAACAAGCAAACATAGATCATTGAAAAATTCAATTTAACATTAATAATTAATTTAATATTTATATTTTTGAAAAAAGTACTCTAAGTATAGTAAGAATAAAATTAACAAAAAAAATCATACGAAATATTAATAAGCATTTTCTCAAAATCTTAAATTGTTCTTTGCAAAAAGGTAATCAAATTAAAATTTTTTATTTTGTCAGTTTTTTATATTTAAATTTAATTATATTATTTAAATGTTGTTTGAAACAATACTAATATGTCAAATTGCTTCTAATAAAATCATTTGGAATCATACTATTTATAATTTAAACTCTCTTCTTATAGGTACTCTTTTCTAAAATAATTCTTTAAAGGTACCTATATATATATATATTACCAGAAAATATGATAATTTATAAACTGTCATCATTGACAATTCCTGATGATTTTGGTATTGTTAAATATTTTATATTTGTACCTTCATTTTTGTATTATTTTAGGCAATGTTGTAAATTGATACAACTAATCAGACTACAGATAATCTCAACTCAGTTTTATGTTATCAACTTATCAATATTTATATTATTTCATATATAAAAATTAATAAAAGTATCCAATGCAATACCCAGAACAAGCAATAGGGACCTCAGTGCAAATCTCTATTGCCGAGATAGATTAAGTTCATGGCTCACTACGAAATGTACTAGCACTGAAGTTAAAGAAAAATAACAAATAATAAAGAAAACGTTTGATTGCCAAAATAAATTGAAAGAGTCTATCAGTAAAATATGTATATGTTCAATTTAATAAATGCAAGTAGTACCTATTACAGAAATACAATAGCTACCTATTGATTATCTGAGGTTTGTTAACGCGTAAAAAATAAAAAATACAATGAACTTTATAGTTTATAATTTATCAAAATAAAATGAGATTATGATATTGTATGAAAATGTTAAATAAAATACACAATATTCATAAGTCCCATACATTAGTATTTGTATTATCGGCAATGATCATTTAAAACTTTGTATTTATGTGGGTGTAATTCTCGTCTACGAAATATAATACAATACAGGTGTACTGTAGTTTCAACGAGTACTTTAATTATTGTTCACTAAGTCGATGTATGAACAATATAATCAAAAATCATATTGATGTTTGAGAAAACGATGTGCAATTTTGTTACAAAACGAAGTGATTACACTTGATAAGATACAAGCGGCCGATCGATGTCAAAAACAAGCATTGAAACGTTGTGGTCACAGAGACCGAAGGCATTCCATACTGTTACGTACACGATTCGGGCGTGTGCGGTATGGTGATAAGTTACAGCAATCCGATAAACACGAAAAACGACCACTATGACAAAACAACGTGGTCGACCGAACGGCGAAAAAGAAAATGCGCCACTAACGGCGATGCTGGCGCGTGGGGCAGCAGAACGTGGTTTTTGTTTACCTTTTGGATTTGCATCGTAGGCGGCACGCGCCGGTTTTGGTTGTAAGCGGCAGCGGCTGCTGCGGACGCCATTTCCAGCGGGTTTCTGTTCGCACCGCGGGCTGCCAGGGTGACGAATCGGTGCAACGGTCGGGGCGAGTAAAAAACGGTTGCGGCGTGTTCCGGTGCCGATACGAAACGGTTGGTGCGTGCAAAACAAGAATGACTCGACGATCGTGAGGAAAACCACTCGTCGGCAATCGATAATAAAACGGAGAACGAGCGAGGGAGAGAAAAAGTGTGAGAGGGAGCGTGAGAAAGAACGCGTAAACGAGATCGTACGGCGGCAGATGACGAACGAGCGAACGAGACGGGAAAGGGGGAAAAAATTAGCAGATGGTGTGGATGAAGGGGGGGGGGGAAACGATTCGGAGACGTTAGACGGCGCGTGTGTGCGTTGGACGTCAAACGGATTTCGATCGCGCGCGCTCTCGAGTCGGCGGCGGGAAACAGTCTACAAGCGCACCACGTCGCCGTTGTACGGCACCCCACCGTCGATCGTAAAGGCGGGTTTACACGAGACGTGAGCCACGATCCTGTGAGTTGTGGCGCTCACGAGCGTGGTTTTAAAAAGCATCACACGGATCGTAAAGGTATTCACACGTGAACCCAATCACCACTCGATGAGATGGCATCGTTAGCGTCGGTAGTCGTGTGCTAAACGACTAAAACAACGATCGACAGAAATTGACAAATCGTAGTTAAAAATAATAAGGAAAAGATGATGGTGGGCAGGGCAGTGGATTTAAAGACGAAATAATAATGGTGGCTCCACGTTTATTTCCCGTGAATTACGAAATCGAAATACGGAAGATTTCTAGAACATTTTTCAAAAACATGTCAGATACACACTTTGACTTTTTATTAAATAAAATTCAATTTAAGACATAAAAATTAAATACAACAACGCGGGAAGCTAAAAAAACAGCATAATAATTGAATTTAAAAATGTATTACATTTACCTATGTATAATATATGATAGTAATGTATATTACATGTAACAGTTAATATTTTACAAACAAATATGCATTCCATTGTACACCACGACTGAAATATCCAACATGGTTTGATATTGTATGAACTGGTAGTGACAGGTTCGTAAATGACAACACCACGATCGTGAATTACGAATTGTCTGTTTACACAGAGCGTGAACTACGATTCCACAAACCACGATCGTGGCTCACCTCTAGTGTAAACCCACCTTAACACGATGTAACCGTTGCGGCAGTGATCTCTGAATAATTTTACCCTTTCAATTCGTTAAACGTTATTTTGTACACAGCTCTTTTTTTCGCCGGTCGTTTTTCATTCCGTCGACATTTTTACTGCTCCGTGAAATCCCTTTATTACTGATGTACGGTGCGATCTGTTGGTGATTGACTACACGGGAGCGCAACTAGATCCCAAATATTGGGGCTATTGAAATTACTGAAAATAAAATTAAACGGTATTTAACTGTAATTACTATCAGATTATATAGATCTGAAAATAAAAACTACAGTGCTGCGTTTGAACTCGGGAGTGCTAAAAACCCTATTTCGCCCCCCTAGTTGCGCCTATGGTTGACTACTAATCATCGTACTATACCGCCGTACCTGTTGATTCGGTACAACAAAGGTGACCGTGCATTATAACACATCGTTTGATAATGTTATGGACACGCGGCATTATAATAAAAAAAAACCATTTAAACGCGTTCATAAACTACGATAAAATTAATATTCGCAACTGCCAGTCAATTGAATCGGCTCCTTTAATATTTATTCAAGTACAAATTAAAAAACAAACGTTTAAAAAAATAAATATTAGTATGTTTGATAATTACACTTAAATAACTCAAGATCAAACTAAATGATTTTAAGTTTAATATTTTAAGTCATATTTGATTTTACGAACATTTCCTCGCTTCCTGCTCTGAAAAGTGGTCAATAACATCATCAAACTCTGGTTTGCTCAATTCAATAGATATGCAATATTACCAGAGCATCTGAATTTTGCTGGCTCAATGTAGATTGTAATCTATTTTTAATTATTTTCAATGATAAAAACGATCGTTTGCTTGAGCAGTAGATAACAGGCACTATAAGATAAATTTGAAGACACGTTTCCACATTTTAAAATGCATGTGATATTTGCAAAACGGAATTTAAATTGGTCAGCGGGATTTCTTGATGTTTCATCAAAAAATATTAAAAAAATGAAATTGAAGCCATTCATCTGCAAAATTATCGGTATAAAATCCAGTTAATTTACATACACTGATTGTACATTTTTTATTTGGCTGTTGATTTTATTTCTATCAGGATTTTTGATAGTTAAAAATTCAAATTTTTCCTCCACTTCGATGTAGACCACTTTTTGTTTTTTCAAATCAGCTATAAATTTATCACGAATAACATAATGGATATCACTAACAAACTTCGTTCTTAAATCTAATTGTCTTTCTTCCGAATCAGTATCATCTAAGTGTATTTTAATTTGAAGTGCATTTAACACTCTCGTTTATCCTTTAATTTTCTTTTCATTGAATTACTTACATGTTTTTTTGACAATTTAATTATCATTGTTTATTTTAATAATTATTAAAATAAACAAATGACAAATAGATATGCAATAGATACGACTAACCTATGTCACGGAAATAGTTATACTGCACAAGTATGCAAGACAATCAGGTCCGTAGAGAGAAAACACGGGCCCCTGGGCGGCGTGATTTTTTATAAAAGTAAGGGGGCGCCCTTATCTGCACTTAATATGCTACCTGTACCCAGTGGCCCCGTAGAAAAAATTTTGTCCCGGAACGCTGAAATGTTTGACACGGCTCTGAGTATGTGTTTCCCAGAAACATATTAAAGATAAGGGTTAAAAGTAAAAAATGTTACATAAATTATAAACAATAAAAACAGTCTAAACTCAAAATTTGTGATTTCATTGTATTAATAATTTTTTAATAACAAAAATTTCCTATATATTAGATTGACAAAGTTAAAAATTAAAATATAAATTATATTAATAATTCTTTATTCTTTTTTTTTTATTATTAATTTCTACAAACAGTTAAATAAAAATTAAGAAAATTGTAATTTGATCGATTAAATGAACAGTACTACAGTTTATACGACTGATTAGTAATAATTAATACGTTATTTAAGTATACCTACTTATTACCTATGGTTTCTACTTTAAAGTCTGTACGTCTACCTGTCTACATGAATAGTTCATAATAAATACTATAAAAGTATAAAATATAATGCTTTTGAATAAACGTTTGATTCATTTTGTGCTATCGACTATCCTCTAAATATATTTTTATTTTACGCACTACGTCTTTGCGGCTTGCTGTGTAAATAATGTAGTAAATTGTCATATTTATTATTTTTGAATTTTGTCTTTTGATGATAATTACCGATCCACGGTAAAAATCGAAAGATCGGTGTACCAGTTAGTGTAAGATACAGTGGCGTAGCTATCATATGGCGAAGCGGGGCAGTGCCCTGGGGCCCCGGAGCACAGGAAGCACCTTGAACCTTTCTGAAACTATATTTCCCTAAAATAATTAACAATGTTGATGGTATTTAACTTTCCTAATCGTTCGTAGTCGTTTCAACAACAATCAGTATTGAAGCAGAATAATTATAATACACGCAATATTTGTTTGTTTTTTATAATGGGTACCTCCTAATAAACGGCATTTTTTTTTTTTTTACTCTGCACATCTATTAATTATCTGGCAATTAATTGTATTTATCATTTCGTAATAAATAATTATTCACATTAAAAAAAAAAAAAAAAAACAATATAATTTGTATACCTTGAATTTTCATGTAAGGATATTATCAGTTTGAAAGCCATACGGCACCGGGGCCCTTCCCTGTATAGCTACGCCACTGGTAAGATGCCGATATTTATAAATACCGATAGGTCCAAATACCGGTGACTCGCTGGTATACCGAAAATACCGCCAACTCTTGGTAATACTATATACTATGATAGTAATGGCAATGTTGATTAAGACCGTAATTTTCGTCGAAAATCATTAAATTTATTACGAGTCATACGTAATCGGTAGGTGTAATTATTAAGCACCTACTCTCCTCGTTATCCCAATAAAAACTTCGCCCGTCGTACATAACGTCCTAACCTATTACGGTGATAACACGATCCAAAAAAGGTCAACGAGTATTATATGGAAATCAATCGAGTCGCGCGATAAAATATAACCCATGGGCGGGTATAGGGGGAGGGGGACCCTATATCAGCTGACCCACAGTTAATATTTGTTGACAAAATTGACCTCTTGGAAATTTTTTTCTCTTTTTAGACCTTGATTTGGACTCTTGGACAGTTGGCCCATCAAAGTTACTTGAAAAATGAATGCCATGTACATTCAAAATTTAAAATTTTTCAATTCATAATTTATATTTTAAATTATATCGTTTTAGTAGAATGTTAAGTAAATCATATTTTATTCTATACGTTTGTTACGCTAATAAAATTAGATTATATTTATTAATCGTAAATAAGTCATTATCGGTGGTATCACTAATTCTAAAATGTAACTAATATAAATGTACTTATACACTTTTATGAGCATATTGTTTTTTTTTTTTTTTTTTTTTATAAGGTAGGTACCTACCTATTAATTTCTAATTCAGTTTCATCCCTAATAAATAGCCTCTTGAAATGGCTTGGCCCACGGTTCCCCGACTCTGGATCCACACCTGATATAACCATGTAATTAAATTTAATATTATAATATCGTTCTCTACGTAAATTTATGTGAAGCCTCCCGAAAACAGATCGAATTTCCGGGCCTAAAATATTCCACTTCCTCATACTACACACTAAAACATAATACAAATCTAGGTAGATTGTATCATAGGTACTATGAAGTTAAATATGACACTATGCCTTCTAAAATTGATTTAAATGTATCATAGAAGTTATGTAAATTTTTGTGTATTTAGTATAACTTATTTCTATGATATTTTGATGTGAAAAATCTAATGCGGTAGATAACACCTGGATCAACAGTTGCGTGGCATGGCGAACTGATTTTGCAACTTCAAGGAATAACATTTTATTACACGCTTTCTAATTTTCTTGTTCACTCTTAATTATTACACTAGCAGGTCATAACACATACACAATTTCAGACCCTGATAAAACCTGATCACATAATATCGATACGATACTTGAAGTTAAATGATTAATATCAGATATCTAACTGATATTTAATTAAATTTAAATCTTTAATCTCCAGAGCAGTCTAAATAAAAAAAAAAATTGAGTAAAACTGATCCAGAATATCTATGCAAAATATAAAATAAAAATTTACTTCTGATATTTTCGTGCTATATGTAAAACCGTTTATGCTCTCAATATTTTCACCACATATATTGATGATTATTTCAGACTAGCTAACCTGCGCGGGCTTCTCATAGGAGCTTATACGTTACCGTTCAATTATTTGCTATAATTTAATATAGACAAATTTTAAAGATTCGAATCATTGTTTAAGGTAATTCTGACGGAAATGAAAAAAAGGTAATTATAATATTGCACCGAGTCATGACTGTGTTCACACCATTTTTTCAATTAAGTAGAGATGGATAAAGAGTGAGTGAGTTGATTGAAAGAGTCGACTTTTTTAGATGACTGAGCGAGTTGAATTAGGGTGCCATAATTCAATGACTCAATAACTCAATGTTAATCACAGATATATACAAGTATTTACATGTATATTGACATATTATTGTATATATTTATGGCGTTACCTCCTAGTTCTTATCAGTTTCATAAGTTTTATATTATCATTATGTCGCTATTGACTTGCTAGTTGTGTACACGGATATAGATATTAAGTATCTAGATATATATATATATATATATATATATATATAAATCTTTAGTATTCATACACATGGTTGTGTAAATTGAACTATGTAGTTCATTGAACTGGTGATTCATTATTATATAAAACGATTAAATTAAGAGTTTACTCACTAAATCAAATCATTGAAATGAACTGAGTCAAGTAAATTTAAACAATTAGTTTTTCATAATAATTTAAGTATTAATTTATTTTTAAAAAATATTAAGGACTTTTTAAGCTTTAAAAGTCAGATGAAGTCTATAGACCGTAATACATATTATTTAATTGTTTTAGATTCTATAAAATATGACTTTATCACACAATTGATTGCCCTTTTCAACCTAACTATTAGCTTGGACACATTATTTTACAACATTCAAAATAATTTTTTATACCTTTTAGCTACTACAATTTTAAAAAACAGTAGTGGTTTTCTTCTGTTTGTTTGTTTTTATTACAAAATATTATAATATATACTTACTGTTTAATAATTTAAGTTACAATTCACTTAAGTGATAAAAAAACAAAGTACAAATTGATAGTATACATATACATATATATATATTAGAACTCAAAAAATGTTGGTGTACTACTGTTAATAATAGTTTGAATGGTTACCGAAATTGTTGGTTTAACAAATGTTAAGGGTTAACAGCTCAATAAACATATAACTAAAACCAGAAACAAATTAAATTTTACGAATAAAATTTAATAATATAAACTAAACAACAAAGTATATTATATGTACATATGATACTATTATAATGAATACAAACAAATAAATACTATATTTGTAAATTTTATTTAAGTTTTAAATCTGCAATCAAAGCTAAATGATCTGAAGGAAATAATAAGCTTGGAAGACCAACATGTTTGGTAACAACATCATGTGGAGGCATAGGTAATGTCTAAAAAATGAAATGAATATCCAACAAAAACAATTGGTAAATAATTTTAATAGAAAATATTTTATGAACTTTATACCTGAATTACTTCTAGATGCTGATTAGTAAAATATATATAATCTAGAAGACCAAAGAAACTTTGTGTATAGTTACTATACTCAACATCTATGCCATATGCACTTTCCAATTTAAAATCAAGAACATTTTTTAAATTGTTCAATAAGTTATCATTTCCTGAAATCAAAGTTTAAAAATAATTTTATTCAGTTATACACATAATTATTATTTTTTATTGATCAAAGTTGTTATAATATTACTATAAGGTAATTTGAATTAGTTAAATTTAATATTTTTTTAAAAAAATATAATATAAATATGCTTGGGTTTATCCTTAATGTCAATTTTAAACAATCATATTATATTTAAATTTAATATAAAAGTACAGATGAATATATTTTCTCATAATTATATGGATCAACATACAGCTATGTACGCAAAAGAAATAAACAATTTTTGATCAAATTACTTTTTTACGAGTATGTTTCTTAATTACTATTTCTTATGAAAAAATATAATAACTCGTGGCAAGATACAAATACATGATATTATTATTATAGTAATTCATTTTTATTTGAATTTTTAACCTTCTTATTCGTGTATTCAACCTTATGATTGGTTTTACAATTAGACTTTAAATGTTTTATGGAAATAATAAAAATTATGGTAGTTTTTAAAAACATGTACAAGTGAAAATAGTAGGCATAATATCAAAAATTATTACTAATTGAAATCATATCAATATGAAAAACAACTTTTAAAAATTACTGAAAAATATAAATAAATATTTTAATAATAACCTTAAAACATTGAAAACATTACAATTATATGATTTGTATGATTTAAAATTATGACTTGCACTACTTACACAAGTACATATTTCTTGTACAATACTTTATTAAAACTAAAGAAAACCTCCAAACATATTTTATCAAAATTGTAAACTTAAATGGTTATAATTATTAAATAATAATTACTATGTTTTTCTGGTAATAATAAATTGGTTGCCAAATCATAAACTCCACTTTCAGGAGTACTATTAAAATCTCCACAAAATATAATAGATTTATTGCGTTCTGGATACTGAAATGAAAAATAAAATTATAATTAAAAAGCCCTATTATTTAACTTATTATATAATTATTTTTCAACTTGATTATACTTACATCTATGTCTAATTTTTTTTTAATTTGATTTATAATAGTTAATTCAATTAAAGATTGCATCAGTCTTGTAGAATCTCCTTCTGGATCACTAATTAAGTGAGTATTACATATTAAAAGTAAATGTTTTGTATCACACTTTAATTCTAAAACTAAAACCTATAAAGTAAAAAAAAAATATTATAGTAACTCAAAATATACTATACAACTTTGCTTCAAAATTTAAATTTTGAATAAGAAATGTTTACACATTAACACTATGAATAATAAAATCTAATTTGATTTAAATAAATCATTATAAATGAATAAAATACTTGAAAAACAGTTGTCTTTTTCAGACCAATTTTCCAAAATTCATCATCTATAATGTCATTTACAATAGATCCACAATAACTTTCCACAGTAGTTAAGTCATTTAGTTTGATGTCAAATTGATTTAATAAACTGAAATATGTTAAAATATTTAATGTTTTTTAAGTATTACTAAATAAGTAAAACTACAAACATACGTAAATTTATCAATAGAATAAAAGCAACTTAAGCCTTCACGTCTATGATTATTCTTTCTCAAAAATACTCCATTCATATTCATGTATAGTTTTAATAGAGGCTGTAATTCACTATTAAAAAAAGAGGATTCCACTTCTTGTAAACAAATTATATCTGCTTTGTATGCTACTCATGAAAATCAAATAATTTACATAAAAAAATTAATAAAATAATTTAATGTAAATAAATTACCTATTAGTTCTTTTAAAACAAGAGGATTCCGATAACCAGAGGCCAAAACTTCTTTGGAACAATATGGATACATGTCTAATTCTGCTTCCTTTGTTTTTGTATATCCTCCAGCTAGTATATTATATGAAATAACTCGAATACTATAAAATATAAATACATTTTAACAGATTTAACATTTAAAATATAATATTAAGCATTGTTGTTACTTAAAAATTAAGAGCTCACCACTTAAATAAAATGTACATAATTACTTCAAAAATAATATGAATAATAATTTACATTAAAAATATTTATAATTAATGTACACTACCTTTGATTATAATCTCTTTCTTTTAGTCTATTTTCATGTGGGTAGATGTCAATGGTATTTTTTAGAACTTTTGAAGATAAAATTTCTGCAGTAGGTCCAGGTGAACCTTTTTCATTATAAGGTTTACATACCAATTTTAAACAACAATCTATATCTTCTGCAGTAGGTGTATAAGCCATTTGGCAACCCACTTCTATTTCCTGTTTTTTTGGCGTGATTCTATACCATAAGTAATTAATATGAGTACTTGACACATTAAACCCATTATCAAATCCATATGGATATAACATTAATTTTTCATATGAAGGCTTATTAAGTTTTATGTTGTTTAATATTGGTGCGTTATAAACTACGTTTATATACATGTCCCTAATTAGAAGACAAGTTGTTGAATTATTATTTTCAAATATATCACTCAGGGTAGCATCATCGCATACTCTAATTCCATCCTTTTGTAATTCAATCTCTGTTTTTCCAATATTCTGAGTTTTAAGTACGTAATCTGAAGATAATTTTAATTTTATTCGTTCCAAAAACATATCTATAGTATCCTGGGGTTTTCGACACATATTTATTTTTCTTGGCTTGGACGGTGGTTTTATAGACAACATCAATGATATATTAAATTGTAGTCCAGTTCCATCTGACTTAGGCCCAGAGTTAACGAACATAGTATTTTCCCATAGATGTATTTTAAATGAAGACATCTTTCTCTTGATACACCTATACTCGTGTAACTTGATTAAGTATTTCATAAAAATCTGCAAACAGTTAAATTATATAAATGTATAGTAATAATAATAATAATATAAGATTATTCATTTGTATTAAATGTATAAAATTATTTTAAGAAGTAAAAGTATGAAGAAAATGTTTTAAATAATAAAGTCATATAGATATCTTATTATAAAATAATTTGTAGTACATTAATAATCAACTAAATATTTTTAATTCTTACATGGTTCATAATTTGAATATATTAATCACCATACAAAGATTGATTTCAATAATGACAACCATTGCTAAAGAAATTGTATGTATTTCATGATAATATGTATAGCTATGACCGATAAGGCTGCTGGTTAGTAAGCCTAATAATATAATTAGCTCAGTTTCTTGCAAACGACTAGATCAACTATGAGTGTTTGCAAACTCAACAATTATAAAATGCTACACAATCTTATTTTGCTGTCACTAAAACACGTTTTTAAAATACAAATCACTATTCAAACATTATCTGTAATAGTAACTGAAACAAATTGTTCAGGAGCAACATCAACCGTTTTCTATCCGTTATAGTGTAGACAACAGCAGCACTGAAACCAATGTAACCCAAATATAAAGCAGTTGCAAGTTTTTGGAAACTTGCCCCTTATAAGCCACATCATTGGTGTACTTTACCAGTTTTTACGAGTTTATGGAAAAATGTGCGAGTATGGTTTAGATATTATTGTAATGCTCAACAACTTTAAACTGATTTCGGTGCCTCTGGACAACTAATTACGGAGAGCGGTTCAGACGTAACTATTGAATGTTAAACTTACTGCGGCGATCGTTGACAGACTTCCAGCGACGGACAGACGAAAAGTTGGCGAATTGTTCGAACAAATAATTAGAACACGCAAATTCGAAGACTTTAGACGGGACCACAGGACTTCTTGGCATCGGAAATGACAACGTCAACCATTAATGTCACCCAGCTAGCCCTACGACGGCGTAGTGAAATATAAAAAATGAAAATTTCTTAAAAAGCTTGTACGGAAAAATGGTTTTTGAATTAGTAATAGATAACAACGTTGTCAATAACCGACTATTGAAACGTCCCTGGTAACGAGCAGTATGTACCATAGACGTATAATAGAATTCTATTATACGTCTATGGTATGTACTCGACTGTTCCGCGGTTATCACTTGCGATTGATTCATATCACAGTTACGGACAGTAACAGATTTAACCACTGTGCCGCTCTAAGCACTAAACAAATTGCCGCCTTTTAATATAAATATTTTTCTAGTCCAATAAATGTTGTTAAATCATACACATATAATTGTTTCCTTTATTACTTAAAATTGTTATGATGTAAAAATTATAAAAGCAGTTATAAAAATGCATTCATGCATTCATATGAAAAATATATAAAATATATTATAAAAATATGACATAAAATATAACGATATAAAAACATGGAAGTAAAAAATGCTTAAACAGTTCATTTTTAAATTATATTCAAAATGAAATATTTAGTGACCATCGGGCTTAATAAAATAAAACATTTTATACCTAATTAGTTGCGTTTACTTTAGTTCTGGTTAAATATAATAAAAATTCAATTTTAAATTTTGCCGCCCTTGATAAATTGCCACTATAAGCACTAGCTTATAGCGTTTATTGGGAAATACGGCACTGGGTACGGACACTAAGGACCAATGGTGCCCAACCCGCGGCATTCTATAACAACGGTAACAATAATAATAGAACTATAACATTTGGAAAAATATTTTACACTTGTATTTAATGTGAGCTTGTGCTTCGCTTACTAATAACTGGGCGCCGTCCCCAAGATTTACGAAACCCAGGGCGAAAACACATGTAACACATTTTAGCTATTATACCTACCCAGTGGTTAAAGTGGAAAAAATGTTGTGGGGGGGACTATATTCACCAACAACTGAGGAGGGTTCCCCTACCTAATTCTAAATCTTAACAACCTTTTTTAAGAAACCCATGAGGTCTAAGCCTCTTCAGTTACACATATATGTTCATAAAAACTTTATTTTCATAGACTGTAAAAAAAAATTTCCCCAAAGAAAAATTCTATACATATGCCTGCTCAGTAAAAATAAATTGAAATACATAGTAGGTAATGATTAAAAAACTTAACTTAAACTTAACAAAACAAAAAAGAAACAATTACTAACCTTGCTAGATGTTGGTCAACGTAGACAGTAACAAATACATACATTGTACATAAGGAGTATACTGTCTATCCTCTATCAAAATTTAATATTTATACTATTTATAGTTATTCTATTCTGTTTATATTTAATCAAATAGTCAATATCACTACCACTTTAATTTTTAGAGCTATGAGTAATAACCGCTCGGGGATCATCTATAATTAGACACAGCGTCTATTAAATTAACCCATGGTGTACATTAACTATCATTTTTGCTTATCATTATACCTATATATTATTTTTTCGAAATTTTTTTCACTTGTTCAAATTAATCAAGAAAATAAATTTCATGTAATATTTTAATATTATAATAAGTAGTGATGGGCATAATCAAAATATTAGTATTCGAGACATTTTTATAATCGAGATTTCTCGAAATATTAATAATTGAGATACGTGATGGGCATAATCGAAATATTAGTAATCGACACATTTTTATAATCACGAGATGTCTCGAAATAATCATTCAAAATGTTCCATTGAAATATAATATGTAAATATAAATATAATATAATTTTATTTATAAACGTTCTGAGAAATTTTTGTTGTTTTGTGGTTGAGTAATTCAAAAATTATAGCTGTATATCCATCAATATTTGTCTAAAAACCAGTCCCACGAATAGCACGAGTCGTAAATACAAAGACTCAAAGTGAACAACTAGTATTTACTTATTCGATTATGAAGATTAAAAATAATATTCCTCCCTCACTTCTTCGTTCCATAAAAATCATTTGAAATATTTTTTCATTCGATACACATTTCGAGATCAAGAATTGATTGTTTTTAAAATAAACAAGATACACCTCGAAATAATCTCTCAGGTATATAATCGAATTATTATTTTGATAATCGAGATATCTCGATTACGCTCATCACTAATAATAAGTATTGTATATTCAATATTGTATTTTAGTCATAAGCGTGCACACGGGGTAGTCAGGGTAGGTACTTGACTATTCTATGAAACTTCCCACCCTCACCAAAATATTCAATATGATCACAATAATAAATAAACATATTATTTTCAACCACTTCGAAACATTAGTTAACGTTAAAAAAAATGTAAGAATACTGGAGAAATATAGTTTTTAAGTTAAATGAAGTTACGAATGCAAATTTTTTGTTAATATTAAATGATAATGTATTATGTTTGACTACCCTGCCAGTTATGTCTGCACACGCTTATGATTTTAGTGACCAATGCCATTAAGCGTTCACACGGACTTTTTGCGACTTAAATGAAAGAGGACACATAATCTTACCTAAAATAAGAAGGGGGACTCAGTCCCCCCACTTTAATTACTATACTACTATAAAGCCCATATGAGGATATCAATCATTTTTTCTTCTTCTTTCTTCTTTTAATTCTTATGCTAATACATGTGATGATAATTAGGGCTCAGAACTTAATGCACTTAAAAAGTACTAAATATGCATGCACTTATGCGCTTAAAAAAGAACAAATATGCTCTAAAAATATGCACTTATATTTTATTTTCGTACACAAAATTTTCATTTGCACAAATATTTTATAAAATTATATAAAATTATAAATATAGAAAAAGCAAAGTAATAAACAAGTTCTCATTTATAATTTTTAATCATAATTTAAAATAATAATAATAATAAATTAGCATTAAAAATATTTCTTGAATAATAAAAATCCCCTGGAAAATGTTCAATAGGAAATCATTGAGTTATATTCCTAGAAAAGTATTTATAGAAAATCATCGTATTTCGATAACAGCTGTTCCTATTTGATAATTGTATAATATTTTATTCTAGATAAAGCTAGACGTAGTTATAATTTATAAATATATATATATATATATATATATATATATATATTATATATTATTTAACCGACAGAGAAAAACATTGTTTTTAACGTCAAAGGGAAATTTGAAAAATACGATAGGTATAAGAATATCAAGAAAATTCTCTCAATATGAATGTATTTTATTTTTTTATTTTTCGAATTTTCATACTGAATCTTCAAAAATCATAAATCATAAGCTTTAAAAAATTGTAAAATCAAGAAATATGCTCTAAAATCTAAAAATCACTTAATATGCAAAAATATGTACTATAAAGATTTGATATGTTTTTCGTAGTGTCTTGGAATGAATTTCTTACTCACTTAGTAATAAATCCAATGATGCAAAAAAAAAAACATGCAAACGCAATAGGTAACTATATATATGTATAACTTACGAGCTCTAATGATAATAATGTCGAGGTATACATTTATTTTCTATCGCTATTCAAACATGATACTGTTATTGATTTTGTCATAAAGATAGTAACTCCAAAAACTATAAATAATATTAAATGCTTTTAGTTATAATTTTTATAGAAATATTATTTATTTATAATCAACTTTAGCAGAGCCTTACCGAGCCATTTTTTATTCTGAGGCAGAACTAAAACAATGCGCCCCTAGGTTGCAGGGTTGTCACACTCACAGCTTTTATTATGTATAATACGAATCAGAAAAAATCCTGAAAATTGTAATTATGTTTCTAGCAAGACAAGAAATAACCTTTTATTAAATATTTTTGCGCCCCCCCCCCTCCCAACTTCAGGCACCCAAGGCAAGTGATTCGCCTCACCCTAGTTACGGGTTTGAACTTTAGAGAAAACATAGAAACCAAGATATCATCAGTTAACTGAAACTGGCATTGGCACAAATACTTCAGAATTACCTTAAACTTAAGGTTTAGCGCCAAACCGATAAAATGAGTTTTGAGTATAACACCATGTAGGGTCTATTGACCCGTCGACGTTCCGTAAATAGTGCCACGTAGAGTTTTGAAGCCCGTCATGCAGTACTTGTCTTTATTGTCACGTAGGGTCACCAAAACCTTAATTTTACATGTTTTTCTATGGAATTTAAATAGAACGTGACCTGCAGAACAATTTTGTAAAATGGTTCATACACTCGCAAATTCACACTATACAAGCGTTCCAGTCAATTGACCTCCGCCTCGTCACTTCTGCGACATGGTACATTTCTAACAGCGGCGGTCAAATGATTTTGTCATGGGGGGGGGATGTAGCTGATTTTTTAACAAACACTATATATAAAATCTTTATTTTTTAACATGGAAATTATATTATATTAATGATATTTTTAATTATTATTAATGATATTTATATTATTAAATCTATTTTTCTGGTTTTTTTTGCCAATTCGTCCAGTACTTAATCTACAGTTATATTGACAACCTCACGATGAACAACCATAGTGGTTAAACCATTGAGACGACTCTAATATAATATAATTACACAATTCATATAATAATATAATATATTATGTTAAGCATCAAGAACTAAATTTAAATTTCATACATTTTTATAATTTAACTATAAAGGAAATTAAAAAAATCTAAAAAGTTTGTTTCAATTAATATTTTAGTGTTTTATGTTTGAACTGTTAATTTTATTCGAGCCTAGAGACTGTATAATAACTAATAAGTACGTTATATTTAATTTTTTAAATATAAAATAGATGGATACCTATATTATATTATGTATAATGTGGATGAATTATAAATATTTAAAAAAAGGTCATGGGGAGGAATCTATCCCTCTCACGCCCCCCCCCCCCCGTTTGACCGCCACTGATTTCTAACGACACTCTTTACAAGGATTTAAAAACCGAAAACCTAAAACAATTAGCTACCAAGCATTACAATAGATTTCATGTAAGATTATTAACCCATCCAAACCCTCTAATTCTTTCATTTTCACATAACTCTCTTTCTGAGAATCTAGTGTGCCATCTATAAAAAAAATAATGCAGAGATCTGCTATTCAAATAATATAAAAAAAAAAAAAAATAAATAAATAAATAATAATAATAATCACATTGATTTCTACTACTGAGTAGATTTCCTGTTTCATATCATTTAAACTATAAAAAAAAAATAATATAAACAAAATGATTTATTAAAATACCCAGGCGTTTTAATTATGTGACCAAATGTATAAATAGAAAATATATGGAACATTTTGGTCGTTATCGGTTTGTAATCGCACGATTTTTTCGTCAGTAATATATTATAATAGTAAATCCATAACAATGACTACTTTCAAAAAAGAAATTGTCAAACAGCTACTATATAAACCAATTGTTCCTTAACCTAATTTTACCAGTCTTAAAACACTAGTTACAACACGATAAAAAGAATGTGTAACTCGTGTTAAGCGCAGAAGTCGGAAAATGTTAGTATATTGGAAGCCCAAAACAAAACTAGAAAATAATTTACTTATTGCGAAGGATTTAAATTACAAATGTGTAGAGATTGCTTAATAAAAAACCATAAAAATGTATTGTAGACATTTTTTAGTTATAATCACTTTTTTTATATCTAAATTACATTATATTATATATATATTTTTTTTTTACTTCAAAATAAAAGGTATTATTACTTATTATATTGAATGTATAAATGTGTAATTTATATCAAAAGTTAAATACCTATTGTATTTTTACATAATTGTATATAACACTAAAAATTGAATGAAGGATCTAATGACTTTACACTGGTCATTAAAGTCATGTAGGTTCTAAGATCCATCATATTTTTTATGTGTGCATTCAATTCAGGTAAGAAAGTCAATAGTTAATATGTGATAAAAATTGATAATTGTCTCTCTCCTCACTGAAATGTAAAAAAATGTATAGACAAACCTACTAAATTTGATAAAAATAATTTTGACAAGTCATATGAAAGATAAATTAGACCCTATATGGCACTTAACCTGTTAATAGTTTGCTCATACTATGTTACATTATATATTCAAAAATATTATTTAAGTTTTAATAATTTCTTATAGTATTTTATTATCCGTATAGCTACATCAATAAAATATTTAAAACAAATCTAATTGTTATATTATAGCAATATATTATATTATGTTATTGTTTGTTATTATAATAAATATGTTTTGCATACTGATTTACACCTAGATAATAATACAAAATTTTAAAAAAAAAAAAAATGTACATGGAATTACCATTTTAATCTTCAAAACACATGAAAGTTATTACAAGGTTAGCATTGTATGAATATAAGATAATGTACATCAAATTAAATAACCTATTTAATATATATATATATATATATATATATATATATATATGTATTTTAATAGTATATAATTAATAAATACAATACATTTTGATGAATTTGTAGTCATGCACTTATCCTTAAATTTTCAATTTAAATACTATGTTACAATGGTATAAAATTGATGTTGTTATACTTCCGTAATTTCTCTAAACTTAGAATTCAATTAGGATTCCAATTTCTGATCTATTAAAATATTTTTTTCATACTGCTTACAGAATAATTAATTTACCAACAATTTGGTAATATAAAATAATAATTTCCTAGTGAACTAAAAGTTCTTTGAGGAGAATCTTAAAATTTGATTACCGTTTATGTTTGAATAAAAATTTACAGAAAACAATTAAAGATTATTTAAGTATTTAAGTATTTAAGTTTATAAAATTAAAACTAAGTAATTTAATTAGAATAATGTACTATAAAAATGAATTAGGTTATTTTATACATAAAATATCACTCTAATACTCAAATAATTATATTATGAGTACATGAAATGTATTCAATTTTTTTTACCTATTTAATATTGTTACAATACAGTTTTAAAAAATCCTAATCGGATCAAAGAAAAATATTAGTAATATAATAAAAATAGTTGAACAGTTTATACAAAATGAAGAAAATAAATATTGCAAAAATGAATAAAAAAAAGACGAATTACTTATAAAATAACATAGCTATAATGGTAATTTATTATTAAAAAATATTATTCAATAATATAATAATTGTACATATTAAATATTTGTCATAGTCATAAGACAATTGACATTTAATAATCTATATTGCATTAAAAAGTAGTATCACTTTTGTATATAAGATAACAATAAGAATTAATTACAATCAATATTATATTAGTTGACAAAAAAACATATTAAACTAAACAAATACATAAATATATACTGTATACGCGTGCAATATTAACATCTATAGTAACGGCCAATGAGATAAGTATACATTTATTGAGGTGCATTATTTATAGAATCGTCAATGAATTTTCTGAAAAAGAAATCAAAAATTAATAATACAAATAGTAAAAAGAAGAGAAAATATCATCATATATAAGGAAAAGAAATTAAAATTTAAACATTAAAAATCAAAAACAAACAATTAATTTAAATTATTATTTTAAACACTGACCTTATTCGATTCCCTAATTCTTTATCTTTACATATAAATTTATGTCCAAACTTAAGATGAGCATCATACAAAACTAATTCAGTAGTAGCATTTACTCTAGTCTTCAATATATGATTGTACAACTGCAAAAATATACATTTTTAATACTTAAAATTTTGTTGTTCACAATAATTATATATTCAGTGGTTTTTATTTACAGAACTTTTTATTAATATAGAGACTTGAGACCAACTTGAGACCATTAATTTATAATGGAAATTATCATTTAAATTTATTATTTCAAAATGTTCAATACCGTTTAAATATTTTTAATTTTATAAATAAATATGTAGTAAAATATAAATGCTAGTACATATTTTAGTAATAAACATATTATTGATTTCATTAAGACTAACATTAATTAATTTAATAAATTTCAATAAAAAAAAATTAACTAAAAATAAAATTCTAAACAACCAGAATACCAAAACATAATATATTCTGGTTTATTAAAACTATTTTTTTATTAATTGTAACATTAACAAAAAATACAAACTATATAGATTAGATAAATAGATAAAAATATTGTAGAACAAACTTTGTTAAAATAATATTATCAACTGATTTAATAATTTGATTAGTATAAAAAGATTATGAAACTTAAAATAATAATATTAAAAATTTAATTAATATTAAAAAAAAAGGCACAACTCCTAAGTTGGGTGCAATACAGAGAAAATGGTATTACTGTACTGGTATTTTAAACTTGGAACCATTGTACCATTATTCTCGAAAAAACAATTCTGATTAAATGATATAAGGTAAAACAATTAATATTTATAAATAAATAAATGCTTAGCTAGAAGCATTATATTTGTAAAGAACGACCAGTTTTAAACTTAACTTCATCATTAGGTATATCTATAAAAAGTATTTTTGTTTATATTTATCAGGATAGTGGTATAGTAGTAACCAGTAATAACCAATATCATATGATGGAAATTTGTTGAAATATCCAATTTCATTAAAATTAAATTCTGTAACACCCATAAAATATTTTTGAGACTTTCAAGTAAAATTTTATTTTATTACTACACAGCTAATCTTATGAAAAATCTTGAATCCAATTTTTAAGTCTGAAGTATAAAAATTAAAAATGTTATGAACTTTTGATAACATTAATATAGTGGATTTTCATGATTTTCATCATATTGTCGTTTTCAATATAACTATTCAATTTTAATTTCAAGTTTTAATAATAATAATTTTTTGAGTTACAACGAAAAAAAAAAAATTATTTTGTTGAAAACCGTTATGGTATACATTTTGTCGTTTTTTTTTTTTTTCATAACTTTTCGTCAATTATTCGCAATTATTAGTAATCTGTTGGGAAATTTGTAATAGTATCAAGTACACAACATTTCCTATCAGAAATCACAAATTTTTGTGATGATCGGATTAATTAATTTAGTCGATGTTGTATAAACAAACACAAAATAAATAATACGGGACAGAAATAATAGGCAATTATTGGTGATTTGAGTTCGAATTTTGGTACAAATTTTAAATTTTTTGCAATTTTTTTTCGTTTTCTCAATTATTCGGAAAACTGTAGAAAATTTTAAAAATAATTCGCTTTCCCTAAGTACGAACCAAAACTCATTTCTTATCATACACTCAGAATCTAAAATATAAACATATAATTATTTTTTAATTTATATATATTTAACCAAGATTCGATTTCTATGATATTGGTATATCTACATTTTTAAATGTACTTGTTTACCTTTTCGCCTAGTGTATAAGGAATTACAATGTCATCTTTTGCATGTAAAATTAGTATTGACATTTTCGTATCCATCAAATGTTTTTCCGTATCAAAGATAATATTATTTTCTTGTACAGGCTCAATGATGAAAAATTCAAACCATGGTAACATACGGTGAATCTATGAAAAAAAAAATTAATTAACATCTATAAATTGAAAAAAAATTAATTTTAATAAAATTCATTGTAAGAATAAGAATAAGAAACCACAGTTAAAATTATTTAAAAACATGGAATTCAGTTTAAGCTTTAGTCTAGCTTATAAAGAATAGTTAACAAATAATAACAGTTTATTGTTAATTTAAACTCAAACATAATTATCACTTAATTCAATCACGTTCACAAAAATATATACAAACGAAACTTGGCAAAAAATGTAAAATATTTGATTAAAATCGGTTCTAAGCTTAAATCATAATATTGATCCAGTTAATAATTTTTATTATTAGATACATTTTCGAAAAATAGAAAGACTACTTATAATTTTGTATAAAATATAAAAACTTTTTAAATTTTTCTGATTTAATCGAAAGAAACACAGTATTAAAAATAAGTCATTAGGTAGTAGTTTAGCTTAATAAAAATCAAAATTTTTTTTGCTCTTCAGACATGTACTATATTTATTTCAATAGCATTCGGTGGCATTATTTTTCTGTAGGATATGCGAAGATCAAAATATAGGTAGCATATCAAAAAACTATATTCAATATTAAAAACTAAGAATATTGGCTTTGGATTTCAACAATGAAATCTGATATTATGATACACGCCTGAACTAAGTGATTAATTACAGCTAAGTGATACTAATAATTACATTTCTAGGACCAAGTGCACTACATTCCTTTTCAAATATCAAAGTATTTCCTAATTTATTTGCACATTTTTTAATAATATATAATAATTTATAATCTATGTTACAGTGTAATAATATTATACCTTGGTAAGTGGATATTCTCTTATTTCATCACTCATTTTGGTAAAAGGCGCTTCTAGTATGAGACCATTCGGATAAATATCTTCTTTTTCTAGCAATGAATACGCATGTGAGCCAATTCTAAAAAAATATCATTTATATATAAATTGAAAATTTTAATTATGTTTAAGTAACAAACGAGATCCGTGGATAAAAAATATTTTCATATCATTATAATATATTTTAAAATGATATAAACTGATTGTACTTAATTAACTGATAAATGTAATTAAAAACTTTAACCATAGAAAATATAAAGGTTTAAACAGTCGGTACAAATAAACGCGTAAAATAGGCCAAAAGCCGGACAAAAGTTTGACACGGTGTCGTACGGCAGCGGGTCTAATTGAAAATCACATTGTGCTATCGCGCATCGTTGTCAATTGTTCGCGTGTTCGGAAAAATTACGACACACACTAACGTTCATTTACTTTGCACACAAAATAATTGCAAAAATTGTAATTAAAAAAAAAAAAATTGTTAACAACTAATGGGCGATGTCACCAATGTTCATTTAATCAATAAAAAAAAAAAAAATGCCTAATGCTTATGTAATTGTTGAGTGGGTATATATTATATAAATTAAATTTTTTTAAGTTAATAATAACATAAATATGACTTCAAATTCATTAACGAATTGGTTAATTAAACCTTCCATAAAATCTACATCTACCACTTCGATTTCTGAATTGGAAACTGAAAATTGTGAAAATGAATCCACTTAAACAAATTCGATTACAACAAAATCACAACACGATATAACTAGACATTTTGACTGACATTAGTGCATCAACTTCTCAGGCAATAATAGATAAAAATGAAATTTCCAATTCCATTATATTTTTTGATATGCACAGATATGGAAGACATTTTATAAGGTGTCAAATTTGTTACCCATTTCCTGATCTAGTTAAACTTTTTTTCGAAAAAACACAAATACCTAAAATATGTCAAGATTTAGGAACACGATTCAGAACAGAACACAAAAATCTATAATTTAGAACAAACCTACTACCAAGAATGCTTAAAAGCTTTTAAACTACGTAAAATGACAACAACTGACATTTCTAATCAACCACATTGGGACAAATGATAATTAAATCTAAAGAAAAACTGGCCAATAGAATAGGGTTAATTCATATATACGGTGATGCAAAAAAATTTACTTTGAGCACTTACTTTTATCATATGAGAATAATAATAAATGAATTATCTGTAAAATTTAAATTTAATAATTTTGGAGAAGATAGCAATGATGGCCTTCATGATATTCAATATTTGACTCCGGGCGCACATAAACATTTTTTAAAAACTATAGTAGTTAAAGTTATAGAAATGAATTCACTTAAAAAATTATGAACAACGTATTAACCATATCTCTGAGATGTGATGGATCAATTGACCGAACTCAGATTGATAAAATATATGTATTAATTAAAGTTGTTAATAAATCTGGAAAAGAAGAACACTTTTTTCTTGGCACCGGTGAGGTGTGTAAACGTGGAGCTCAAGGTATTTTAGAAGCAATTGAAACTGGCTGTATTAATATACTCGCTATCGAATTATCAGAGTACGTTTTTAAAAATATGTCGTCGATTGTATCAGATGGTGATTCAGTAAACATTGGTGAGCGTAGACATGGACATTGTTTCAACAAAAATAGCGATCATTAAGTGAACAAAATGTTCTATTAATAAAAATTTGGTGCGCAGCTCATCGTTCCAATATAGCTTGGAAAGATACAAGTGATACAGTTTCTGAAGTTATTACACATATCATCCAAACTTTAATAGGATTGTCTAAATTTTTTCATATTTTAGCAATTTGAACTAGAGAGCTTCATAATACTGCTAAAAAAAATAATTGTAACCTTATAAGAATACCAGCATTTTTTCAAGTACGCTGGACTGAATTTTCATTTTCACTCTTAAATTCTATCCTGATGTCATGGCACGCACTTGTTCTTTTTATGCAAGATTCAAAGAAAAAAGAAGCAAAAAGCTTCCTGTTATTTTCGACTAATCTTGATAATTTCTGTATGTTATAATTTTTAGCTGATACTTTGTTCATTTTTAGTTGTTAACAACAAAAGTTACAGTCTGATTTTATAACGATTTTAGATTTGACTAAAGAAACAAATTTTGTCGCTCAAAAACTCAAATCTTTATACTCAGAAAATTAACTTGGAGGATGGATGAACGCACTTCAAGATGAATTAGATCAAAATTTAAATTCAATAAAAGGTATAAAGTTAACTGAAGGTAATTCCTCTCTAAAAAGGCAAAATCGACATCACTTTTTTGTGACAGAATCTCGAAATGTTAATGCTGTATGTCAAGAAATCGTAGAATGTTTGGCTAAATTTTTATTACAACGAATTGATATTAATGATCAGCTAGTACATATTCTAAAACCATTTACAAACCTTAAACCATTAACTCAAGTTCATTTAAAAGAAGTTCATCAGACTATTGGAAATGATTTAGACATAACAAAACTATCATTGGAGTATGCAGAAGTACTAGAATTAGAGGAAATAGAAAATTTACACAAAATGTCTATGGCTAAATTAGTAGATTATTTTGCAACTTATACTTCATTCAATACAATAATAATTATTATTTCTAGAATTCTAGTGGCCAAACCTCACAGTACAGACGTAGAACGTCTCATAAGTACAAGTAATATTTTAAAATCTTCAGATCGTCAAAGTCTTCTTGTTGAAACAGAATATGAATATTTGTTCATCCACTTTAATATGCCACCTTCAATATTATGGGACCCAAGACCTGCAACTTTGTTATGGATAAACTCATCAAACCGCCAATTAAAAGAAACTTCCAAAGCACGAGAACAAGTTTAGTTTAAAGGCATTTTTGATCACTCGTTGAAACTTCAAGGCTTAAAAAGAGATGATGTTCTAGAAAATGAGGATACAAATCGTTCAAAAAAAAGAAAATTTTAAATATAAAATATATTATCATTATTTAGATATTTGTATTGTATTGTAAAATTGTAATTAATAATATCTAATAAGTATAAAAAGTAAAAGTATAATATTGACATATTTTAATTATGTACTCACTACCTATGTCTAGAAATGTTTGGAGTTAAAAGTGTTTTTACATAATCAATACACATAATTGGGATTACGTAATAAAAAAAAAATCAATTTAAATAGTGGTATACGTATAATGGAAAAGTTCCGTATTTTTTTTAATATTTTACCACGCGATGGTCAAAATTCTAAAATATCAATAAACAATTTATTTTTGGGGAGGGGGTAAGTATTATAATTCAAATACATTTTCAGTGTGTTTAGGCAGTTGGTAAAAATCCTTGGAATAAGCCCTGGTTAACAGTAAATTAAAAATTATTTCTCAGCACTCTAGACTTTCTTAATTTCATAAATAATAACATAATATGTATAATATATGTATTTACTAGCACACTTTTATGATTTATTGATTGTAGCTTGTTGATAAATAAAACATACAAATCGACGAATGAAAAACGTAATAAAGATACGAATAATAGTTAATATATTATAATTGTTAAAATCACTATGTATTTAATACCTGTTTTTTTGTCACAGAATCATTTGCGAAAGGTATTTATTTAGATAAATGAAGTTTCCTTTATTTTGTGAAACCGGTGGGATGGGTTGTTTTAACTTCGGGAAATTATTTTAAATAAATTGAGGAAACGGTCTTGGTGACGTACTCGATGATCCGTGTCACTTACAGGCACAGTCAAAAAGATACTGAAAAATATCATATTTACCCAGTGCCTAATGAATGACCCCAGCCGAAGATTGGTGTTCCATTTGCACGTTTATGTGTCCATTTAAACATTTCCATCGCGTCGGTCACCACTCCTAACTCGCTCACTTCCACATCTGTAGAATCGGCATAACCTAATGAAAGAACAACGGCAGTTCATAGATTACAACGCAAATAAATGATACGGATTAAAACATTAAATATATTTATGTGCCACATACTTCTGTAATCTACAGCTAACACATGGCAGTTGATATTCCTTAGGACATGGTAAAGCTGTACTCGATGTTCGTTAGCTCTGGTACCCGAGTTACCGTGCATGTAAATCACGATCGGTTCGCCGTGGCTTAAAAGCTGTTCGTAATTCGATTTATCCTTTTCGTATTTGTCCAATAGATTACGTGGTAATACATGCCTAAAAGATTTTCGATTGGATTATCTTTTATACGCATGACTTACTTTTGACATGATATTTTATATCAAAGCGTAGGGTAACCTTGACGGGGTTTTACACTCATTAAATTCGTCAATTTATTTTTTGAAAAAACTAAGAAGATCGCAAGCAAGTAAGTATCAATTTTGATCCTTAAGGATAGCAGAAATTAAAATATTTTATTATTAAAAATATATTTTGCCATTAAAACAATATTATGATAATAAATACAATTTTATCCTGAATTAATGGATTTTAATTACATAAAATATCAAACGCTCAATCATTGAAAAAAAAACCTTTATACAGTAGAACTTCGATAATCCGGGGTAATGGTGGGGAAGAGTAACACGGATAAATGAAAAACACGGTTAATCGAGACGAATTAAACAAATTATGAAAAAATGAATAATGTTGTATGCATATTAATTGTGTAACAATGTTATTTTCTCTATGACTAGAGCAAATATTAAAAATACTAAATAGTATGGAACAAATTTGACAGAATTGAATAGTTCCTATATTTATTAGTAATAATGTGATTAGATAAATATGATTGTTGAAGAATCTCTATTAGTCTCTATTAATCTTAAATAACTCTTATCTACCTGTGACATATTTGGCCATATTTTTATCGTTATGAAGGTTGTTTAGGTTTTTCGATAATGTGTATTATGTAGGTACATAATATAAAAATACGTTCGTCCAAACTAATTAAACTTTTCCGGTGAAAAATTTCGAACGACGATAATTTTGGAAAAGTAAGCACGATTAATCGCGAACATGTTTAACGAGGTTCCACTGTACTTGTTATTTGTAATAGACAAAGGGGGGTTCGAGTAAATAATTTATAGTGAACTTCACTACTAAAAATGTGTGTGAGAAAACCGTGGTGAATAAAAATACAATATATCTTAAGTAATATTTAATTAAGTTTTTATAATTGTAAATAACATTATTGTATATAAATTAATAAATAAACGCTTAATCTGGATTATAATTATATTAGTTAAGTACGATCGGTTTCAAAATAAAAAATTATCATCTGGTACATAACAAAGTCAATAGTATACAATTTTTATTTTACACAGCAGCGATTATAACGTGAGTGGTTTACATAATAGGCATACAAGTATAATGTACAAGTTGGATCATAAATACATTTTGATAATTTGAAATTTTTTGTAAATATACATTAAAAAAATACTGATTTATAAAAAAAAATAAAAGTTAAAAACTAAAAAACAAATAAATAATTATGATATGATAAATTAATTGGAGTTTCAATTTATCCGAATATATAAGAATAGAAAGTAAAAATGTGAATAATAAAACGAAAAATAAATAAAAATAAGTAAACAATAAAATGATAAATAATATTTTTTAAAGTTGAGTAAATTACGCTTTAAAAAATTAAAATAAGTACTCAAATTAACCATTAATAAAATAAAAGGTACTTACCAAACTCCTAATGTCATATTATCATTTGTATTTATGTAAAAATTTCTAGTTCCTCTGAGACCATAAACTTCGGGTTGGCTATAGTTTACGTTGAATGGTCTACGGACTAAAATAAAAAAAAAATATCTATATTAAATACAATATTAGTAATAACATAAAATTTACATGTAGTTAGTAATTTTGATTGACCAGGATAAATTATTTATTTAAAGATTTAAAAAAAACAAAATACTGTAGGTGCTCGATATGAACTTAAAAACATTAAATTTAATCTATCTATTTATACAAATACTGCCAACACAAAAATATAGATTGATGCTAATCAAAATAAAAATGCAATTATTATAGATATGTAATATGTTAAAACAAATATGTAAAAAATATACTGATTTATAAAAATATGTTACATTTTTTGAGGATCACATTGTAGAAAAATAACAATTTACAGACATTATTTTCACACAAAAAAATACATTTCTATATTGGATGCAAAATATATACCATAAAAAACCTTGAGCTGTAACATTTTTTCAAATTAAATAAATAGAAAAAATGAAGGCTAGTTATAATTTAGTCACAATTATTATATTTATGAAATATATGATTACTCTTGGCATTTTTAATTATTAGGTAGTTACAACAAATTACAAATCTACAGACCCGTATTTTTTGAAGGGTGCACACTATATACATTGTATTGTAATTCACTGTATACTATAAATTAAATTAAAAATTAGAATAATTACTAATAATGTATAGTGACGGAAAAAAAAGTTTAAAAAACACTTACCAGACTTTAATTTTACAAGAAATATTAAGATTTTATGAGAAACAATTTATAACAATGATAAGATAATTATCATAAAAAATAAATGGATTGACAGTTTAATCAGGTTTTCACAGTTAAATAATATAGATATTTTATTTGAAATTTTTCTTCAGTTTCGAGTTTAAAATAATTATTCATATTTCAATAAGTTAAAGAATAAACAGTGGCGGATCCAGGATTTTCTTTTTTTGGAGGGGGGAGGGGGTTGAAAAATATTTTCCCTAGGAATATTTTTTATAACATTGCAGTCAATGATTGATAATGAATTAAGATAATAGTAAGTAATATAATACATTCATTTAAATCTAAGACTACTATTTTCTTGTATGAATAAAAATACAAATTATATACTTTCCCCATACACCTTATACTAGTAAGGGCTATAACTTTTCCTCATACTTTTTTTAAAAAAAAAAAGAAACTTTTTCAAAATTCATAAAATTATTGATTTTTAATATATATTTATCCTGATTTTGGGCGGGTTAACCCCCTACCTCTGTGGATCCGCCACTGAGAATAGATAAAAACATTATGTTCTTTAAATATATGAGTGACAATTTATATAATGTTATCGCTGAACACATCCAGTAATATTATAATCATTTAATTTAATATAAAATTGTAATAAAAAAGAAATGAAAATGATTGTTCAGGGAAAAAGAAGAAGAGAAAATCGAATGGAGGTTAAGGACAAGGGTGGCCAAATCCAGATAGTTGGGAGAAAGGCGAAGAAGAAGAAGAACAAAAAAAAAAAAAAAAATAGGACATTTAGTATTAGGGGATAATATTAAAGTTTAAAGTATATGAAAATCATTCAAATAAAATATAGATGTAGATAAGTTTTAGATTGATTATTCAACAGCCACTCATCAATCATATCTGAATAATTTTTGAACTTAGCTAAAACATTGAAATTCGCTAAAAAATGAAAAGACAAATTTGTAACTAATTGTTGTTAAATTAAAATTAGTAAATGATTTTGTATTTTATTTTTTAAACAAAACATTTTTTTATTAAGAAATATACCTAGAAGGAAACCTATAATACAAACATTTAAAATAATAATCTAGAAATTTAATAAAATATAGATTAATTTTTAAATACTTCATTGTCATTATTTGTAGAAACATATAATATATATATATATATTACATTAGTTAAACATACATTTAAATTAAAAAAAAAAAAATTGTTTGTAATTACCATAATTAAGAAAAATCATTCCTCTTTGAAGTGATGGCGAGTACCGAAAAACAATAGGTACAACTATGAATATGAGAAATAATATTATCGCAAAGAAACTCGTTGTTATGTAGCATGTCCTGAAGAAATAAAATTAGATCAGAATGTTACAAATAAATAAAAAAAAAAATTATATTTTTAATCATTAGGTAATTTTAATTAAATATATTTAATTACAATTTGGATGATTGATGGGATATTTTTAAATAAATTATATAATACATGCATGAAAATGACAAACATAACAATACCGACCATAATAAAATATTTCTATTAACATACTTGTTATAATACAAGAGTTTAAGTTTACATTCAAATTTTCAAGGTATAACTTTTTATTTTAATAGCAAACTATATAAATGTCAATAATTAATAATATATGTATAAATATTTTAAATATTTGTGAAGAAGTTAGAGAATTCTATCATTGATAATCAATAATCAAAGTAAGATAAAAGGAATACCTCCGAACTTATTTTTCTTTACAGCTTTTAATATTTTCAGAAAAGTTATAATTTGAAATTATATTAAATACTATATTAAATATTAAACTGATTTTATCACAAAACTAATTTAGTAGCCATTTCAACAGCTGATTATTATGAATAGTTTTATTGTTTTATTACTTTCCAGATAATTCCACAACTTATAAATTGGTACAAAATTTCAAATTATTTTAAACAGGATACAAACATCTACTTAGATCTTATACTAAGTCATCATCTATAAATTTTAAAACAGTTAAGAATTTACATAACACTAAAAGAAAATTACAAAAAAAAATAAACAATTTTGTTTTATAATATAATCTGTCATAATTGGGAGCTTCTATGTAAAACTAGAGTGCTTCATTATGATTCATTTTTCAAATAAAAAAATACACCACTATCCTGTGCCAATTTTTATACTTTCAGTTGACCTTATATAGTTAGAGCAAAACAAGGTAAAAGTTAATTTTTTTTATTAATACTGACATTTATTGTAGAGTTTATTTATTAAATGTTTTATCTTTGATTTGAAATTTATCTTAAGAATCTAAAATAATAGGTTAATATATTATTTCAATTTCACTCACAAAATATAACATGTATCTATCGAAAAATAATAAAAATATTGTTATTATATACAACAAAGGTGTCAAACATTGGGTCCATAGCTTAAATTTAGTTAGCTGGGTTATTAGACAAATACAAAGGCTGTAAAATATTTATATATGCGGATCAAGTTAAAAAAAAAATAATGGATAATTGTGGAATAATATATGAAATTAATGATTATTTATGATTTAAAATAGGTTTTTCTGATACACATACATAATCAAAATACTACTATTTTTACATTTACTATCATATTAAACACGTGCAAAATATAATAAATGCAAGATTTAAATAATTTTGAAATACAATTTTTCACTATAGTAATAAATTTTATTAGTGTTATATCTGGTATATAACAAACTTATATGATACTTCAGATTACATTAAATTTAATTAATTAATTAAATTATATTTTTTCTGTGACAGCACAATGATTAACAAGTTTTATAGTACTAAATCTATTTTAATATTTTTTATTAGTTGTTAGTAATTAAATGACATATTTTAAATTAAAAATGATATATATATATTAGTTATTAACTAAAAATATTATTTATTCAAGCTTTGAATGAATATCTACTGTAATAAAGGTACATTGTGTTTCATGTACTGTATGAACTTAAAAAACTTAGTTTCATGTATAAATTATATTTCTTAATCCAATGATTTATCATTGTTTTAAAACTGAAATATTACCACCACAATAGCTCAACCAAGAACTAAATGGTAAAAATATTTTATAATGTCACACTAATATTTAGGAATAATATTAATAATAATAATAATTTCAATGGCATCATTACAGCTTTTTAAAGAAAATATTTAAATCTCATAAATTGTTTACAATAATTTTAATATAAATTGAAATCTCACTAATCAGGGACCAACACAAGGGAAATTTTGGAAGTTAAATTCCCCACTGAAATACTAGGAACAAATTTAAAAACAAATTACCTGACCCAAAAATATAATACATAATTATTTCAAAGTTTCCCTTGAGCCTAACAAATAAAATAAATAGATAACCTTTGGTTTGTAAATTTATGGAAGTATATGGTTTTGCAATAAAGATTTTACATTATTTCAACTCTTCCCCAAATTATCTTTTTTGCATTTGCCACTGCCACTGCTCATTAGTTAAGAATACCCTACTTCTAAAATATATTTAAATAAATGTTTATTCAAATATAAAGATAGCTAAATCTTAATGTTTTCTAAGATTTTATATTTATTTTACAAAAATTTTAAAATCTTAGTGTCAAATAACTTTACCACACCTTTGTTATATTATAGATAATAATAATAATATATTTTTTTTTTTTTTGTAATGAAATTTTATTTTTTAAGCCAACTGTAAAGTTAGCCAACTGTAAAAACTATATATTTACAAGTGTAAGATACAAAAAAAAAAAAATAGAATAATATCATCAACATTTTAATACAAATGGCTTAGTTAAAATAGAACTTAATATGTTAGATAAAATGTTAGTTAAATTTCTAAGCCAAGGGTTAAATATTCTTTTTATATTATACTGTGAAATTTCATGCAAAGCAAATGTTAAACAAATTAGTATCAAAGCTAATGGTATAGCAGTATTCCTATATACTATTATATTATCTCGTATGTTTGATAATATAAGAAAAAATAATTTTATTCCTGACAAAATGTCATATGGAATGTTAAATATAATATTAAACACAATTATAATTAATTTGATAAATTGAACAAAATGTGATTTTCATTATTAATAAAGTAAAGTATTTTACATTTTAATAAATGTAGAATATGTAAATGGAATACAATTTAATATTATTACTTACGCGAGAACACAAATTAATAAGAATATCATCACAGGTTTCATAAATGAAAAATACATGCATGGTGCCATTATTGAGATATATGTATTTTTCACAGCACAACGAAGCTATAATAAAGTAGTTTGAAATTGAAAGATCTAAAATACAACAATCCTGTAACATAATATTTAATCCATAGCAGTCTTAAAATTAAGTAAGGTATCTACATTTTTAATTAGTATCTGTATTGTTAACATTTACATATTTACATTATACAAGTATCTACTTAATGTACATTTTAAGAAGAAGATACTTTGTTTTTAGATAATTTTTAATAACGAAATTAATTTATTAACATTTATTTAAATTTAAGAAGTCCACAAATAATTAAATTGTATTGAAATTATATATTATAGAAGTAATTGGGAGCAATTAAAAATACACTAGTATAAACTAACATATGGAATTATAACTATTTTATTTTAATATTTTCTTGTTATAGAAATATATACGAGTAAGCATTCTTTGTATAAAGTTTAATATGAAAATTATTTTTTAAAAATTTATATCAATTAAAATATTTAATTAGAAACAAAAATCAATTAAAATGTATAAATTATAACATAATTTAAGATTTATTAAATAATATATATAAAACAACTAATTTGATTGACCGATGGTTCAATTTTGTATTAAATATATGTACAGTAGTCACTTGATAATTCGAAAAACTCCATAAATCGAACTAAACGCTTAGTCCCCCGAGAAAACCTCTATAATTAAAAGAAAATACATGTATTCCAGTCCCCTCGATAATTCGAAATGTCTGTTGGTGGGACTCACTCTACAATTCAAATTTTTTTTTCCAACACCTCTATAATTCGAATTTGCTTTAACGCGGTTATACGTATGTTCATATGTACATCTATTTGATGTACTCGCAATAAAATTAATAAGGACGACAATTAAATATTATCGTAGATTATAAATTTTATCGTACCTTACCTACTTAATCTTAACTTTAATCGTATCATTTTACCATTTTGATGTCAGAATTGCGAAAATTTTTCGAGCATTTTGAAATGTACGAAAAAGGATGCGATACAATTTCCAATACTATCAGTAAGTTAGATAACGCTATGGACCAGATTGTGGCCAACAATTTAACACAAAAAAAGAACTGATTTCTTTAAAATGTAAAATATAATACATAAAATATATAATAAATGAATGTCAATTAATAAATGTAATATATACAAATCATTTTTCACCTCTCTTTAATTCGAATTTATTTTTTTACCTGGATTATTCGAACACTCGGTAAATCGAAAAGCTCTATAAATCGAATTTTTAGCTTAGTCCCCCGAATTTCGAATTATCGAGTGACTACTGTATATGATATTTTTACATGATTTAAAAAAAATATATTTTAGCATGAGTACTAAGTAGTATTAGTATCGTAAAAGTATATATTTTATAGCATATTAAAGCATATTTTGAGGACCTTTTGTGCATATAAATCCGTTCCGTACTATATTTAACTAAATGAAGATAACAATATTAATATAATTCGGGGTTATTTTATATTAATTTTTATTGTATTTATCTAATATAAGAACAAAAATACAATAATTTGTTTTGGATAAAACCAATTGATGTTAAATAGTTTACATTATAAGTACATCACTTATACTTTATAAGATCCTTTATACACCTAAACAGAATTTACTTATGACATAGTAAAAATGAATAATTTAAAATCCTAAGTGTAATGCAAACAATAACATAGTGCAGGTTACATAATAAATTGTGAAATATCTATTTATACTTAATGTTAAGAATTAAATAACTAATGAAAATTTAAGAGCACATTGGCACAAGAGGTGATTTATTTTTTAATATCCTTATTTAAAAAAAAATATTATATTCATACATAAAAATTATTATTAGTAAATGATATTCCTATATAAATATTTATTTAGTATTAATTTAAACAAATATCACAATTCATTAATAGCTCCTGTATTATAAACAAATATTGTAATACATTAATGCAGTGATATAGCAAGGGTAGGGGATTAACAGATTATAAACTCTCCCAAAATGTATCTCTTATTTCATAAAATATATAAAAATGTTAAGACATAGACATAGTTACAATAAACTAAATAATAACACATTTTATATTTTAACTTATGTTTAGTCGATTCATTAAAATAAAAAAGTTGTTACATACATAGGAATAAATTTAAAATTTAACCCCTCCCCAAATATTAAAATTTTCTGGCAATGCTATTGCATTAATGTATAAACTTTGTAAATAATAATCATTGCACGATAATCATTAGTTCATTAGTCACTAGTCATTAGTTATCAAAATATACCAACTAAATTGAAGGTGAATCATGAATATCTATTTATTGAGAATATATAACTACATACTGAGGTCATAATTTGTTTTATAATAAAAATAGAATTTTTCAAACTAGTTTATATAGTTCTAAGTACTAGTAGCACATATAATTTGAATTTTCATTCAGTAAATAGTTGTTAGCTATCACAATACAGTGTCAAAATAGTTGAGACATCAAACTAAAAATAAATAACTAAACAAATAATATTAACATAATATTAGACATACCTACATAATACATGTTAAACCAAAACCATCAATACTATTAATAAAACTAAAATTTCTAATTTTAATTTGAACGTAGTAAATATCATTAAAAGAATGTCAGCTCATGTTTGATTAATTTTTCTATCTATAGTTTAGAATAGCAAAAACACATTACATTATGCTGTTTATGTTACATTTCAATTTTAAACCCATATCGTTAAATTTAAAGAGATGAATCTTTTTTAAGTAAGACATAACATTGTTTTCATTAAGTATCGACTGACAAAGAAGTGAAGACAATTTAAAAAATCTCAAATTGAAGTATATATATATTCATACAAATAGAGAAAGAGTACCTAGAAGAAAACAAATATGGTGGGTATTAGAATATTTATTATATTATATATTACAAAGTACATCTGTATAAGGCAGATCATTGTTATTAAATAACCTCTGAGAATATTATCTATAAATATAATAGTTTTAATATTTTACTTAATTATTGTTGAGTATTATTCAATGATATATGATTTAAATCCTTAATGCCTTACTAGATATAAATAAATTACAAGAATCATATAATTCAATGTATAAGTATGTACATGATTTTTATACAATAAATATATTTCAATGCATTTTTAAGGATTTTTCACTGGACGACAAACCATTTTCTACTTAAAATAGTCATTGTATAATAATATTATGGTAGTATTTTAAGTTTGATATGCATAATTATTAAAAATAAATCATAATTTTGATAAAAAGAGTAAATATCGATAACATGATAATATACTGTATTAGGTATATACAAATTAATTTAATGTACATTACCTAATTATTTTTTTACATAATTTAAAAAAAAAAATCTTTTTTTGCAATTAATTGTGTTTCGCTCAATTTTTCAAAATATTATTAATTTGATGATAAAATATATTCACCAGGCAACATTTGTGTCGCTTAGTTAGCTAGTTTAAAAATGCACCGATATATATGTATGTATTATTGATATTAATTTTTATTTTAACAAAGTTAATAATGTTTTCTAACTATATATAACAGTAAACACTTTTGTGTAATGAACATTTTTGTTAAAATAAAATAAAAATATTCATTACACAAATCAATACATTACAGGATTCTTTATATGTTTATACATATTATATAAATACAGGCCCGTATTTAGAGAAGAGCATGGGTTGACACATTCTCGGGGGCGTCAAGTCTCAGGGGTGACAAAATATCTTAGCAAAATTAATTTCAAAAAATAATGTACCTAATGAAAAAATAAATAAAACAATAAAAAAAATAAAATAGTATGTTTTATTATATTATAAATTGAAAAAAAAATGTATTTTTATTATATTATAATTTGTTAATTAAAAAAAAAGTATTAAACAATTATCATTTATAAGTTATATTTTAATATTAAAGAATCTCGATTATGGACGAAATAATAAGTCTTGTATTATTATTATTTATTTGGGGAAGGGCTTAAATTATATGCTTGGGGGCTCCAAATTTTTAAATACGGGCCTGTATAAACAATAAACATTTTTATCCCGAACTTATAACTGATAATTAATGTTTTATAAAAGGCAATTTATCAATAGTAAATTATTTAAACAATAAAATAATTTATAATTTGTTAACAGTGGCGGCATAAAATGTATTTTTCAACGAAGCAGTGTAATAAGTACCTACCCCAAGTCAAAGTTGTAGACACAGAGTTCAATCATGCTTGTAGGTGCATAGATATTAAAATTAACAAATCCAAATAAAATAATTTATAATATTTTATGTCAAATGTGCAAGCTTTTCTGTCACTCAACACTACCTAACTACCCACTCCTTTTAGTCATGAAGCAGCTGCTTTAATAAAACCTCTATTGCACAGCCATTGGTTGTTAATTTATTTATTTATAAATATATTTACAACAAATATATACAGTAACCAAGATAAGTTAATATGAGTTAATTTTATTTGTAATGGTTAAAATCACACTGCATAGTGATTACTTAAAATATAGGACATTTTAATTACCCACCACCATAAAATATTTGCTTAGCAGTATGTGGAGTAAAAAATATAATTTTGAATACCTCAAATGTTAAAACTATAAGATAAACTATTTAATTCATAATAATAAACATAAGTTATTAAAACTTTGACTTTCTATAGGAACATGTTAACACCTTGCACGTATATTTTAGCTGTCATTCATAACATTAAATTTAAATTGTTAAGTTCTTTTTTTATCTTTAAATTTATGAAATAAATTCTAAGAATCAACTAATTCATGATAGATATTTTCATATTGTACAGTAAATAGATCCATGTACATAAAGTTTAAAAATAAAAAGTACATATCATTAATTATTTATAAATTTAATATAAACAAATTTATTAAATTATACATACCTTTTCATACAGCCTTTAAAAGTCATTTCAAATAAATATCTAAAATAAAAAGAAATAATTTAATTAAAACAACAAATATTGAATAAAATCCTTCATTATGTACCTATATTTATTAGTAGAATGTTTTTACAATTAAATATTTTGTGAAGTGGAAACATAAAAACTAATTTTATCAAACTTTTAAATTTTTGCACCTAAGAGTAAAAAAAAGTTATGAAATTAAGAAAATTAAATTCATAGCATATTCATAAGCATAAAAACAATAGCTAATTATTCAAAAATGTGTATGTATATGAAATTATATTTATTGTATATTGTATATTGACTACATAAAAATTAGTTTTCTCAAATTAAATGTATAGTGTTAACTGCCCTCATTTTTTAGTGAATCCAGACATAAATTGTGTAGTCCGTAATTGTAAATGTGTACTACAGATTCGAGAATTCTATACCTACAAAATACTAATAAATAAGACTATACAATGAAGATGTTTTTCAGGAAGCCAGTTTAAGCAAGACAGCAGATGAGGACTTAAATATATCTAATAAATTTTAAATTAAATATCCCACATTAAAGTAAATAATTTGTTATTTTAAAATTTATACCAGACATAAGTATATTTTTAGTTTTAAACATAATAACAAATTGATAGTAATCTAATTATAATGAGCAATTTGATTAATAAAATAACTATTATTAAAAATTATAACCAAATGGAAGTGGGATAGAAGGGACTCAATATCATATTATTCTACATTAAAAAATGTGTAATACGAATTTTTATGAAAAATAGGGGCTGTGTCAACATTAATAATCTATAATTATGAGTTTGCATTAAACATAAATTTAAAATAAAATAGAAATTTAATTTTTATAAAATAAATAATTTTAAAACACAATACATTTGTAAATGTGATTCTTCATAAATAAATAATTCAAATATAATTCCAATTAAAGATCTTTTTTGGAACGGAGTACAAAAACTTAGTAAACATGCAAATTGTAATTGACAATAGTTTACTCTAGGTCATTTTGGTAAATTAAAGTAATTGTTACAAATAAAGAAATAGTACATGTTCTACAGTTATTCTGTTAACTTGCTTGTATAATTTTTATTGGTATATCTTCTGGTGCATAATATTCTAATACATTTTTATCTATATTTAATTGTATTTATACTAACCATGTATATTATCTTTGCTTGAATATTAACAAGCAGTTTTATTCTAGATAACATTTATAGTTTAACATTTTTATTTATTGATGATTAAAAAAGATTCCATGCCAGTTAATTATTACCTTGATCATTACCTGGTTCATTAATTTAATAATTATAAGTATAACTGTAGGTTTCTGGTTTTATCAGTACAATATGTAAAAATAATTAATTTGTATATGATATATCAATATTGTAATATTATTGATATTTATACATTCAGAGTTCATAAAACCAACATATTTTGTTCAGAGATTATAACATTTTATAATATGATGTAACCATTGGGCAACAATTATTTGTGTACGAAAACGTTGAAAACTAAAAAGTGTTAACAAATTTAATTATGAGGTCTATACCGCGACAAAGAGAAAAATCAAATGGTTACAAAATATGACATGAAAATTATTAGTCATTTGAACTGAACAACTGTTTTTGTCGAAACAACTACACTGATGAAAATTTAAATTTCTTAGTAGTACTACTATAATATAATAATATAATATAATAATAATGTAATATAATAATACATATATTAATACATATTAGTATCGAATGTAAGATTAATTTTTTAAGCAATTTCTCAAAATTTTAAATCTTAAATTGTGCAAATTTTACACAACGGAATCGAAACGGTAACATCGTTAAAAATGAGTCATACGAGCGAATAAAATGAGTCATATATTCTACATCACACAAGCGAGCGAAATGAACGGCGAATGATGTTTATTCAGCAATAATTCGACGACCGAGGAAACCGTATCGGAAGGAATGATTTGTTCTGAACGATTTCGCAACGGTAAAAACGGAATTTTTTCGGTTTTTTCGGCACAGGGCACGACAAAGATCACCGAGGAATCGGTGGTACGTCAGCGTCGTCGACAGGTAACGACCGACGACAAGATAGTGCCGTGATAACGTGCGTGCGTCCGAGTACAATTGTACACGTTCGGGGCCGGTACTCACCAGTGAATAAATAGCTAACGACGCGATAGTCGTACGGGCGGTATTGCGGATCAAACGGATCTACCATCGGACAAGTGAGGCGATCTCGGTGACATCGTAACAATGTGAATTGAACAGGAACAACAACAACAACGACTACGGCGGCGGTGGCGGCGGCGACGACTGGAATCGATTTGACGCGGACTCGTTCCGCTTCCGTACGACGTGTGACGGTGAGTAAACGCGTCCCTGTGCGTGGCGTAGCGACCAGGCGACTATTGGCATTTTGGCACATTGGCCAAGCCGTTCGACTTTCACCCCTCCTCCGTCCACCGCCGCGGCCCGCCGATGATATTCGCGATGACGAACCGCTTGAGCGCGCGGCTTATCACTTCCAAACCGACAACGCGTTACCGGCGAGGGATGGGAGTTTGAAAATATCGACGCGTAGATATCCATCGCACCATTGGCATAGTAAGATTCGTTAGCGCCACTGGCACACTTAGAAAAAAAACGCTTTTTAACCAATTCAAATTTGATATTACGATATATTTTTTTAACCTTTAATTTTACTAAATTTTTTTAAGCACACGGTTTATACATACAAGTTATTATTACGACGTTCATTTTAAACTTTGAAAATTTGCTTTTCTTGCTTGATGACTAGCAAATTCATCGATAATTTCTTCATATGAAATTTTTTATTTACAAATGCTCTTGTGCTATTTTCATAATTTCATCATTAAATTCACACGTAGTGTGTACAAATAGACAACATCTACGTATTTCAATAAGTATAATGAAAAAGTTTTGATTTGATAGTAGGATAAAAATACGAATCGACTTTTGCACTATTTTGCGCCCCTGACGTAGGCACAGTTTGCCATACCCTTGCTACGCCACTCCATCGCGTGCCAGATTTCGGCGTGAACAAGGTCGACCGGCGTGTTTTTGTTACAAGCGCGACGTTAACGAAATGTTGTTTTCCTCATTCGTGGTCGCGTTGGACTGTTGAAAAAACAAAAATATATTGTACAATCTCGAAAAAACGGCGTTCACCCAAAACAATAATAATCGGACGAAAATTCCAATCGCTTCGTTGTACCGGAACTACTGACCAGACCTAATTTTTGTTGAGAATTTTTTTCCCGTTCTCCGTTTTACACAGGTCGTCGCCAAGGCCTCTGCGAGCTAGTAGTACCACTCGCAGATGCAAAATTGGATTTACGGGTGTCTTAATTCTACGTTTTACCGATTCAAATTCTTTTAACCTTTACGAAATATTTATCGAATAATTATTGTTTTTACCTGGTGAACAAGAAGTTCCGTTTCCCGTCCACTTTGAGCTCTTTGTTTTCATTTTTGATCTTCCGTTTTTAACTAACAATTCACTATTGTTATAACAATATTATTATTAAAATATTTAACTGTTGAAAAACTCAATAAAACTATAGATATCCATATAGAATAACATATTTTTTCACGTTTTATCATTTATTATTCTATTAAGTGTCGATAAAACTTGTTTTATCCACTGTTATTACAGAGTCATAATTCATAGTTATACGATTTAAATTAATAATTAAATAACTCGTTTTTATCAATAATAGCAAAAATTATTTAAACGCCCTCTTTTGAATTGTGTATAGAATAAAATGTTTGATATCATCTTGTAGATCGTTGTTATTAAATATTATTACCTACTGCCGGAGCTCGAATTTTATATTTGTGTAGCACTAAGCATTTCTTGGACGTGCAAAGTGCACTAAGTTTAATTATCTGAGTTGGAAAAAATATGTTATTTTTAAAAATAACAAAAAAAAAACTTTTATATTTTTTAAAAACACATTTTTCTGTTTTAAACAAATTTATATATTTTGTTTTTTTCTGCTGTTTAAAACATATTTAATATTTGAAGTCGAAAAAAGTCAATCTAATTAATAATTGGGATTGAGATATTTTGATTAGACATGAATGTAGAATAATGGTTTTCATAAATTATTTTCCGTTTGCCGACATTGCCGTAACAATTTAATTTTACTAATAATAACTAATTATTGAATTAAATTTGGTGAAAATGAATAGATGCGTAATTCATTAATAAGTTAATCATGACAACTAGAAGAAAGAAGAATGGCATTTGAAAGTTCTTTATCGAAAACTGAAAATGATTTAAAATCAAAACGTGTTGAATGCAAAAAATGTCATTTGGTGATTGTTGGGTAATTTGCCCGAATGAAAACTCATGTTTACGAAATATGGACTGACTCATGGATGCACTTAAATGTACTATATAAGTCTATTTATTTTAATTGTATGTAATTCTAATAATTCTCCGTTCAATTCTATCATAAAAGTATGTGATAATATATATATATATATATATATATATATGATTTATATTTTATTTACTATATTTATTTATATTTATTTATATTTTATTTATTATTATTTTATTCATATACTTATAATGAGGGAAATAAGTGAGCTACGTATTGTTCAGTTGGGCCGATTAAAAATGTATATTGCACCTGTTACAAAATTCTGCGCGCGCCTGTCTGAAGTTATACATTAGGTATAAACAGTACCTATGTATATTCATTTTGTACATGTATATAGCAGCACACTTCATGATATATCATAATTTATTATTTATCAAACAAATTATGTTAACCCTATCTATACCCTATACATGCTATTCGGACGGTACTGGGTTGTATGCACACGGAAACCTAGAAAATATTTCGCACGGTGTTATCCATATATTTCGCAAATTATACCACACACACGATTCACCCACTTATTTTGATATATTGATGTCGTATGACTTCCATCATGAGCATCATAATGTATTGACATTGTTTCACGTATTATAACTGTATGAGTATATGAATTATTATGTACTCGTTAAACACTCATTTTATTGACGTGCACGTGGGACAATTAAATCTAAGCTAATATCGACCAGACATATTTTAGGGCTCGATGAAAATTTTTCGATTGCGATGAGAAATCTTAATTTTGAATAAACTTAGAGTTTTGGACAAATAAAACTCATAAAATATTAAGCTTTCATAGTTTCATAACTTATTAAGTTTTAAGACATTAAGGCACAAGCATTGTAACTATTGATTACTTAAGTGTTGAAAAATCTGTAGGACTTCATCGTAACTTGAGTTAAAAAATAATAATAATAATAAATAAACTAGACAGCAGTTTGTTTCCACTGTGTATCTGTATTTTTTTGTAATTATTAATCATATAAATTAAAGGTATAAAAGTATTTATTAAATAAATATTAACAATTTTTATCCCAAACTTATAACTGATAATTAATGTCTTATAAAAGGCAGTTTATACAGTGGTTAAAGTGGAGGGACGTAGGGGGACGGAGTCCCCCTTCTTATTTAAGGTAAGTATAAGCGTCCTCTTTAATTTAAGTCGTAAAAAGTCCGGGTGGATGCTTAATGGCATTGGTCACTAAAATACAATATTGAATATACAATACTTATTATAATATTACAATATTACATAAAATTTATTTTCTTGATTTATTTGAACAAGTTAAAAAAATTTCGGAGAAATAATATTTTGGTATAACGATAAAGCAAAAATTGTAGAAAATATACACCACGGGTTAATTTTTATTTGACGTTGTATCTAATTATAGATGATCCCTAAGCGGTTATTACCTATAGCTCTAGAATTAAAGTGATAGTGATATTGACTGTTATTTAGAATAAATATAAACAGAATAGAATAACTATAAATAGTATAAATATTAAATTATGATAGAGGATAGACACTATCTTATAATATAGACAGTATACACCTTATGTACAATGTAAGTATTTGTTACTGTCTATATTGACCAACAACTAGCAAGGTTAGTAATTGTTTCTTTTTAGTTTTGTTAAGTTTTTTAAACATTACCTACTATGTATTTCAATTTATTTTTTTTGAGCAGGCATATGTATAGAATTATTTTTTTTTGAGGGACATTTGTTTTTACATCCTATGAAAATAAAATTTTTATGAACATATATGTGTAACAAAAGAAGCTTAGACCTCATGGGTCTCTTAAAAAAGGTTGGTAAGATTTAAAATTAGGAAGGGGAACGCTCCTCAATTTTTGATGAATATATTCCCCCCACAACATTTTCCCCACTTTAACAATTGAGTTTATAGATGGTAAATCATTGAAACAGTAAATTAATTTATAAATTGTTAACAGTGGCGGCATGAAATGTATTTTCCAATGAAATAGTGTAACGAGTACCTACACCAAGTCAAAGTTGTAGACACAGAGTTCAATCATGTTTGTAGGTGCATAGATATTAAAATTAACAAATCCAAACAAAATAATTTATAACATTTTATGTCAAATGTGCAAATTATGTATTAAGATTTTCTGTTACTCAACACTACCTAATCACACACTCCTTTTATTCATGAAGCAGCTTATGTATTGCTCCGCCACTGGTTGTTAATTTATTTGCTTTATGATTTTATTTAAAACAAATACAGTAAGCAAGATAAGCTAATATGAGTCAATTTTATTTGTACTGGTTAGAATCACGCTGCATAGTGACTTATGAGTTATAATTAATATATTATAGCTAATTAACTAGAGTTCATTATGTAAATATAAATAAATATTGTGATTCATTGATAGTAAACAATAAATTATTTTAATTAATCAGTGTATCTATATCAAATTGTTCAACTAATATAGTGTGCGTATGCATATAGGTTTTATATTAATGAGTTTATGATTAAAGATCATGATAGAAAACCGTGTTTCTAGGATGAATCATGGATGATTATTAAAAATTAATTTAAACTCATCTTTATTAATTGAAAATCTGGCATTAAAAAAAAAAAAAAACACAATTATACTAATAGTTCTGATAATTATTAGTTTTTAATTAATTTTTCTAAGTTAATTTTCAAATTAATACGCAAATATTACAAATACCCATCAATATAAACATTGAAAATAATTATCAACTGTCTTTATTTTACTGCGATACAATTTTTTTTTTTACTATAATTGCCTAGTTTATTAAGTTTTGATTTATTTTATCATTTTATTTTCAGTACATTATATTTTATTTGAATTACTTTTATTTGAGATGTGTTTTCTACATAATCAATAATTGGTATGAACTTACTTATTATTGTTACTATTCAAGTCGTATGGAATGTGAGTTAGTGGATTCTAAGTTCGAATTTCTTACTAGTTAATCAGTAATTTATAAATTAAACTTAATTATAAATACAAATTACAATAGATGAGTTCGACATTTTTTGGTATAAAAACATAAAAATTTAAAAATTGACAATAGAAATGAATATTGGCTGTAAT